CTCAACCACCACTGCTCGCGGCGGACGGCTCGGAAACCCTTCCGGCGCCGGCGGGCAGCGGGCCCCACGAGAACCCCCCGCTGCCCTCTCCGCCGCCCCCTTCGACCGTTCCCGTCACCTACTACGCCATGACCACGGAGCAGGCCATCCTCAAGGCCCAGCAGGTGATGCGGGACTACAAGCGCCCGGACCGCCTCGAGCTCAAGCTCCTCCAGCAGCAGGCCGCCTCCCAGCACTATTCGCAGGGGATGGCTTCCCCCCTTCTGGAAGCCGGAGGTCTTCCGCATCCGCCGGCCTCGCTGCTGCCGCACCCGCTCAAGCCCCCCCGGACCCGGGCGGCCCCGTCCACCCCCCTCGAGGGCGTCGTCGACTTCCTTTCCGAGCCCAACCCCGAAACCGACGACCTCTTCTCGGTCAACCCCTTTGGCGTCCACGCCCACGACGTCCTCAGCGGCCGGGGGGCCTACGTCAACGGCCACGTCGGCAACGCCCGGCTCCGGGCCCTGGCGATGGAACGAAAGCCACAGTTCGACGCCGGGAACTACACCGAGAAGCGGGTCCTGGCGGCCGAGATCGTGGCGGCCATCAAGGCCCTCGATCCCCCCGGGCGGTTCCTCAAGAAGGCCTCCAAGGAGCTGCAGGCCGAGTACCAGGCCCAGCAGGACCGGTTGGCCAAGGCCGCCGAAGAGGCCCAGGAACCGCAGCAAGCACGAGAACCACCGCAAGCACCAACCGAAGGAGCAGCGAACGAAGAGGCCGCCGCGAAGGAAGACGAAAGGGCCACCGGCGGAGACCCCGCGACGAAGACGGAACACGCAGACCCAGCGGTTGCCGGCAATGGTGCCGAACAGAACGGGGAAACGGAAGCTTCCGGTGACGCCGCTCGGTCGTCCGCTCCGGCTGTCGCTCCCGGCACCGCGGAAGAAATCGGCACGGCCGGGGTAGACGCCCTCTTCAAGGCGGCCGAGAAGGCCCAGCAAACGGGCGCCGAAACAGTCGCCGTTCCAGTCGCAAATGCACCGCAAGGACCAGAAACACCATTGGTGCAGGTTCCGGGAACCGCACAGCCGAAGCAGGCGCAGGCGCAGGCGCAACAAGAACCACCCGCACCGGCAACGGCCCTGGTGCACCTGGTGGACGGGGTCTGGGAAGAACTCTCCGACGACAAGGCCATCCACAAGGCCTGCCAGGTCATGCGGGACATTTCGAGGCCCGATCGAAAATACCGCGAGGAGCGGCGGGAGCAGCGGCTCCAGCGCAAACAGAACAAGCGCCAGAAGCTCCTGGGGAGAGCGGGTTCCTCGGAAGCGGAACAAACCGGAACCGGTGTTGCGGTTGGTGTCGGGGCTGGTGTTGGTGTTGGTGTTGCCGAAACGGAAGGCGAGGGAGTCGCGGCTCCGATTGCCCCCATGGGCGACGACGGGGCTACCGCCATGGACGTCGTCCACGACGCAAACGACCACCCCCCCGCAGCAGCCGTGATGGCAGCCTCGGCAACAGCCACCGCCACCACCACCACCGCAGCACCGCTGGTGGCCACACACCCCCAGGCAGCCGAAGCCACGGCTGCGGCCACCGGGGCTTCGGCGGTGATGCCAACCTTACCAATCAAGGCGGAAACGGAAGACGATGCGCTGACCGCCGAGGGCGAGGCCGCCGTACAGGTCGTGGACAACGCCCTTCTGGACGAGACCGCAGCGGTGGCGGCGGCGGTTCCCGCACCGGCCGTTGGCACCAATCCGGCAGGCGCAAGCGCCGCAATGCATCCCGCCGCTCCCCCGGACGAATCCATGCCCACAGACGCGGTGGTAGGTCAAATCGAGGTTTAAGCAATGAACGAAGGAAGGAAGGAACGAATCAATCAATCAATCGATCAGCGAAATGGAGCACAAAGAAACTACAGTGCGACCAACGACAGATGGATTCCATAATCGATTCATTCATCCAATTAACCAGCAAAGCAAAATTTCGATTGCCAGGCCAGTGACCCCACGGCATGGTATCCACCGGACACCAAGTCACCCCTCCATGACGAACTGGCATAGTGGCACCTCTACATTTTTTACTGCAAATATTTGATTTTCGTGATTTATTGTGCTCACAGTAACTCGAGTCACCGAGAGCCCCAACAACAGCCAAGGGTATGGCAATCGAAGGAAAGATACCCTCACTATGGTGGGTTGGCTGGCTTTATTTGAAATTTGAAATTAGCATCTTAGTTTCTAAATCCGTGTTACTATTTATTTGATGTATCGTACGTACGAGTTCGTATTTGAACTCTCAACCGTTCAGCGAGTAGCACCCGTAATTACAATATACATTTCTGGCCTCGTGACGCGAGAAGAAAAGGTTGGATTTCTCGCATGCTTTTTTTCTCCGGCTCCTCGACAGCTGATGACTTAACCCCGACGAAGTCCGATACTATGCCAAATACTACGTAGAAAAAAGTACTGTACTGTATTTTGCGCGCGCAAAAGAACACAAACATTGATCTGATTGGGGGAATCGGAAATCTTATTCGGCTGTTCACACGAACGATTCTGGATATTTGCTCGTATTAAATTGTGGGTAATAGAACGTACGTACGAAACGATACCACAGGCACGGCGCTTCAAGTTACGCGCAGCTTTACGGGTATTTTCTACGATCCTTCTTCGGTGATAGTGCTTTATGCTCTAGCTTTTGAAGTACCAGTAGTGACAATAATACTACCTCCGTCCAATAAAATTGTACACTTTGCACCTCTTCAGTTGAAAACAGCTCAATATTTGGCCGATTGGAATGCTTATTCATGCACTAAACAGATCTATTGCAGGTAGTATACACTTTTGTTTATTGCAATTGATTTAGCATTGTTGAGAATGTTCCTGTGCAGTCATAGTTGGTCAAAAGAGAACCCAAATATTTGCTAACAGCTTTTTTTTCCAATTTTGCGCTGGAGAACCGATGCGAAGAGAATAGAAAGTGCTGTGCGCATGGTGCATTGTGTTATTTTCACGTGATAATTTTCACTCAAACCTCCCAATTTCCTCTTTCTATACGGTACGGTGTGTACGGTACGTACTGTACGGTATGGTACTTGTAATTATCACATTCATCATCATCTCTGTTCCGTACGGTAGTACGAATCCACTGTCCTGGTACGTGAAAGAATTTACCAGTATAATTTACCAGTATAAGTCAGACGCAACCGTAGGCACGTTAGTAGAAATAACCTGTTGATGTGAGGCAAAACAACGAGCAGCTACCAGTCATCTCATCATTTAAATGCCATCAAAAGGCCTAGTTGGTCCATAGAGACAACAGGATTCCAGGATTGTAATACGCTACGGTAGGACAGGACACATGTATTTGTGTTTGTACATTTTTGTTTTTGTTTGACTTACGTGCAACAGTACTTGCCAGAGCGAACGGCTCCATCTACCATTTCATTTGATTGCTCCAAGGCAATTCTAGTTTAACAACAATGTTTCGTCAAGACACATCCGCCGCTCTTCTCGGGAAACCGCCGAAATATATCAAGAACTCGGTCGGTAAAATGGTCCTAAACCCGGCGTACAAAGAATGGAGGAACAAGAACGGCCCCAATCCTAATCCCAATCTTACCAGCAGCACAAGCTCGTATGCATCCACCTCTGTTCCGGTGGCGGTGGCCGAAGACAACAAGGCGGTTGCAGTGGGAAGACCAATAGATACGCCACCGGAAGCTCCTAGATCGTCGGTGGCTTACATCGAACGCAAACTCGGCGACCTGGAAAAGCTAAAGAGTTTGCTCACGGAAGAAGAATACGAGCGCAAACGAGCCGAAATCATTGACTCTCTCGGCTTGTCTTCCGACGACGATTCCGAGAGCACCGGCTCCTACGCTTCGGATTGCTCCTCGAGCACCTGCTCCTACGACTACGGTTCGGATTATGTTGATGCCAATGACAGGTTCTCCCACCTGGATCCAGCGAAGGTGAGACGGGACGACCAAGGACAGCTCTATATGTACTCTGTCGAGGTGCCACATGGGGTCCGGGCCGGGGACACCTTTCGAATTTTTTTCATCGACGGCAAGGAGTACGCCGTGACGTGCCCGATGGGGGCCCGAGCGGGCAAGACCATCGTCGTCCCCGTGCGCTTGCCGGAACCCGAGCCGGTCGCGAAGGTCACTCCCTTTGCCGATGCTTCGCCATCGACTCGGCGAAAACAGCGGAGGGAGGACCACAGCCGCCGGAGGGAGGACCACCGGGAGGAGCGCAGGTACAAACGGCAGGAACGAAGGGAGCGCTTGAAGGAAAAGAAGGATCGCAGGCAGAGTCGGTTCGAGCACCGGCAGCGGCGGTCTTTCACGCGGCAGCAGCAGGAGGGAAACGACGCATCGGCGTCCGCGTCCGCCTCTCTCTTTACCGTCATCGTCCCGGAGGGGGTGGGTCCAGGCCAGCGCTTTCGCACCACGGTCCCGGCCGGTCATGGCCAGCGCCCGCGCGAGTACGAGGTTGTCTGTCCCCCGGGCGCCGGACCCGGAGCCAAGGTTCAGTTTCGGATGTAGCTGCTAGCAGGATGGCGATCCATCCAATTTGTTTGGTCACCGTAGCAACACACAAATTTAGTAGCTTCAATCGTCTATCGTAGAATAGTATTGCCGTTAGTGTTGTTGGTGTTGTTCTATCTAGCATTTGCCATTTTTTAATTGATCTATCGTGTACGGGTTAAACAAACCCAGACCACCAAATCCATTGTCCACGAAATCCACACCACGTAGGATGATCCGTCTTGTTATGTTATGATGCGCTATACGATGTTTACGGATGGGAAATCCCCGGAATCCCGCCGTCTCCGCTCTTCCTCCTCCTCCTCTTGTTCTTGCTGCTTTCGTTTCTCTTCTGCTTCCTGCTGTTCCTCCTCCATGGCCAGGCATCTCGCTAGCTTCTTGCGTTCCTCCCTCGTTGCCGCCCGGGTGTTTTGGGATTTTGTTTTTGAATTCGTGGTAGCTGCGCCAGCATCGCTGTTGTTCTCGGCGATCGGTGATGGTGTGGTCTTGGCCACGGTGCTGTTGCGGGTATCGTCTAACAGAACCACCAAGCCGTTGCTGCCGCTGCCGCTTCCGTTGGTGCTAGAGGATACGTAGGCGGGCGGCAGAGGCTCCTCGAGCTCGAGTTCCAAGACGTCGATCACAGGACACTCATCGTCATTCGAGCTGACCCCGGCGCCGTCAGTATCTGCGTCTGCGTCGCTGTTCGCTCKAGGAGAGACGGCGAACGTGCTGGAGGCGTTCAGGCCGTCCCCGTTGTCCGAGATCAGGACGTTCGCCATAAACACCAGCGAGGTGAGCTCGAGGACGATCGCCACCAGCTGCAATGGCCCCGGCGATGCTTCGTTGGTGGCGTTCTTCGCTAGGAGAACCACATAGTGCCTCAGCAAATCCAGAATGGTCGTCCCGTAGCGCTCCCCGGTTCCCCCTCCGCCGGATTCAACCCCCCGGTTGACGATGGAGATCATGAGGCAGAGGGCGGCCCCGGTCCCGGTCGACGCAGCTGTCATGAGGGCTCCAGAGGCCTCCGCCGCCAGAAGCATGACGTACGCCCGGAGGGTGAGCATGGCGACAAAGCCGATGATTCCCAGCACAAAGTGCGAGTTGACCGCGCTCCATGCCAGGTCGCAGCTTGGGTCGCCCTGGAGGAGCTCCCATACGCTCGTCGAGAGGGGATACCGCTTCTCGGTGAGCTGGTTGACAGCAACGGCGGCCCACATGACGACGATGAGCTCGGATGTGACGGCGATAAGCGCCACGACGATGTGGAGGCGCTTCAGGGCAGAGCACCGGGCACGAATGTGCGGCGGAAAGACGTCCCTGTTGTCGGGTGTTTCTCGGGGGAGCTCCGGGAAACTGGTGGCAAAGCCGAGGGAAATCATTCCGGCCGTCACCACGGCGGCCGGGAGTTTCATGTTGTTGAAGAGGGAGGTGGCGGCCGGGGCGTAGTCCTTCAAAACAACCTCCATCGCGTTTCCTTCTGGACCGGTGGCGGTGGCAGCGGAAGCTACAGCGGGAACAGCATTTCTTAACGGAAGATCCTGGAGGAACGACGATGCCGACGCCAGGCAGGATGATGGCAACGAAGATGTCAAGAAGGACATGGCACTTTCCGCCGAGGCATGGTCGACCATTACAGCCCCCACCGCCATGTGCAACCTGGTTTTTGGAGCGTTTCGTGTTCCTCTCGAGTACGGCAGCAAATGGCGGTGAATCCCATGGTGATTATGGAAGGGATTGCCGTACCTTTGTGGTTGTGGTATTGGGGTTGTGGTTCGAGCAGCAGCGGCAGCGGCAGCATTGAATGATTTGTAGCAACAGTCCAAGGCGCCTTCTTGTTGTCGTTGGTCTCGTAGTTGAGCTGGTAGTACTGGTGATTTGTTTTCTTCCCTGAATGTTCCTTCGTCGCCGGAAAAGAATAGGCAATGGTGGTTCTGATTGTTTCGTCGATTGGTCTTCGGACGATTACTAGTTGGTTTTCGTGTTTGTGCCTTCTGGGGAACGACAGCAGATGCCGTTGTCGTCGTGAATATACTGGTTGTGGTTGCAGTTCTTGTTGGTCCTGTTGTGTTGGTGTTGATAAAAGAGGCGAGGACTGATATTTTCGGTTCTCGTTGCGGCTGCTGTAATTGTTGTTTGATCCTTGTGGTGGATTTTCCAGTATCGGCACTAAACGCTTCCACGACAACTCCCCGCATCAAACCAAGATTGAAATACAGACGAAAATCTAGCAACAAAACTAGCAGGAAGAGGAGGAGGAGTTGTTGCCTCCACCACCAACGCATCGCTGCTGTTGATTTCTTTGCTTTTGGTTTCCTCGAGGCTACAGTTGTTTGCCATTGTCTTCGTGAGGGTTCCGGTGCTGTTGCGTGCGCTGGATAATTGAGGGATTCTTCCGCTGGCGACGTGAACGACAAAAACAAGGAAACGGACAAGGCCGAGAAAAGGCAGCTGCTCCTCGTCATTCCCCGTTTTCGGCGTCGCTGCTGGGGCAGGACGCGGGGGACAGCTTCCTCCGAAGAATCGGTGTTTTCTCTGCGGGAGGGACGATCTTGCCGGCGCTGTTGCCGGTGTTCCCAGCGGTAGGAACCGAATTCCTCCGAAATGATGTCCTCTGTCTCCCCCCGCCGCTGCGGAAGCGAATTCCAGTCCTGCCGATGCGGACGAGAATTCTCGGCGCTCATTGTTCTCGACAAAGTGTTGATTTTTCTATCTCTTGTGTTTGTTGTCTTCTCTCGTATTATTTCCGCCAGTCTTGCGACAACATCTTCGACTCGGTTGGAAGACGCGATGCAGTGTTGTGACTTTGTAGACCTGAATTAGATTTCGGAAACAGTGGTACGTTTACTCGTTGTTAGAGCTAGTTGCACCAGTGGCAGATATTGGATATTGGATGAAGATAATTTTACTAATAGATGACGAAAAACGAAAAACTAACATACTCCTACTCGTAAATACATTAATGTACCGGCAGTACCGTACGAGATTTCGCAAGCGTACACGTACTAGTACGAGTACTACTTCCAAAAGTTGTGAGTTTCAAGTTCTTTTCGTTGTCGACGGTATGGCATCGCCCTTACTGTACGGTAGGGTACCTCGTACCTACGAGTGATACTGCATCAAACGGCACATGCCTCGACACCGACAGGACACGGAACGACAGACGCCAAAGAACACAACAAAAACTGCAACATGAATCATGGATTATGGATCATGAGCACGAAGCACTTCATACGTAACAGTCGTATATTGTGAAGGTACGAGACTATCTGTATGTAGGAGCAAACGATGGGCTTGCTTGGCCATTATGTCTGTACTACTTTGTACGGTAGTAATCGTAGTGAATATAGCATTGATGATGAAGACAAGTTTCTGGTACAAATTTTGCTTAATTCTACATAGTCATTGGGATTGTCATTGCACAGTCATAGGGATTGAAACACTTGTTGTATCGATAGCAAAAACAGTCATAGGGGATATCTGGATATCTGGATACCTGTTTCTGGATTTCTGGAATGAGGAAAATGTCAAATGTCAAATGAGGGCGATTTCTTCCGAGACTGGTATTGTGGAGTGTTTGATGTCTCACAAGAGTACCCGTACTCACCGGAAAGACAAGAGAAAAAGTTTTAAACAATACCGTACGGTTTGGCATCTCAATCGGGAACTCCGCCTTTATGAGTTGTAACCAGAACCAGAACCTCAACTAGAACTACAAAAAGATCTAGGACCAGAACTAGTTGCTGCCGCTGGTTTTGCAACCGCTGATACTCATGCTCATAATGGCGACGGCGGCGAAGACGACGACAGTGATAAAGATGTTGCTATTCGTAACAGGCTCGGCTGCTGCCGTCGCCGCGTCTTTTTCGCGTTCTTCGATTCCGATCGCACCACTTAACCAAGCACGAAATCAACGGATCCTGGAGGATACCAACGAAAACATAAGTGACAGTGGCAACAACTCTAGCAACACCAGTAATGCTGCTTGCAAACTTTGCGAAGGTATCGACCTTTTCCCAGACATTTCCCCCCCAAAACTCGACGGTCATTTCAGTCCTCTTCGAGCGGCTTTGTTCGAAATGATACATACAAATGCCACGAACAACGCTACAAACCAAAAACGTCCAAGCGATAGCAACAACAACAACCACATCAACAATAACGACGCTTCTACCGTCTACAGGAACATCGCTGATGGGATTTCCACTTGCGCAGAAATCGACTCCTTCTACCGAGCGAACAGTTGTTCCATGCTCGGAAACAACAGTAACGGCAATGGCAACGGCAACGGCAATGACAATGGCAACGATCACCAACCCAGCGTCTATGATGCAAAACTGCGGGAGCTCTTCTTTCGGATTTGCTGCGGCTCTACCCTCCMTGTCTACGAGTGCGAGGCCAACGCCAAAGCCGCAGTCTTTTCTTCCGGGACCTACGGATACGATACAGCAACCCCTCCCCAGTCTGAGCGATTCCAGGTCCTCGAAGTGGGCGTCGATATCTGGTACTACTATCTCGTGGGTATCGACGAGGAAGCCGGATCGGCAAACGTCCACATGGAGCTTGGGCTAACCTGGACCGATCAAAGGCTGGCCTGGGAGATCACCACTTCCGCATGCACAGACCGGATCTCCGTGTGGGCGGGGAATGGTGAATTGTCGGAAATCTGGATCCCTCCCTTCAACCTACTTAACCGCAGAACGGGGCTGGAGGCAATCCCGCCGACTAGGGCGACCGTCGACTACAAAGGAACCGTGCGAATGGTCCTCCAGGGAAACATGGACGCCTTTTGCAATTTTCGGGGCCTGGCGAACATCCCCTATGACACTCTCGGGTGCCAGTTTCTTTTCGGCATCACGGAAGGCGACCCAACGGGTGCGGCTTGGTACTCGGTCGACTTCCTGGACGGATCTACCACACAATTCGCATCTTTTGGATTGAATGCCTCCTACAACGAGTGGCTGCCAATTCCGGAGCTGGCCGAAATGGGGAAGGTGCCGGGGCAAGAAGTCCTGTATTTCGATCTTTATTTCGAGCGGGCCGAGGCACATTATGTATCGAACATTTTAGTAAGTACCGTATGCATGCATTCGTTCCTTAAAAAATACAGATCAATTGAATTCAATCCAATCCATTCATCTCATCGTTTCAAAAACAAATGAGAGTTACAATACTTTGTCTGCTTTGTCTCAATTGGTTTGTTTGTAATCTTTTGCTCTGTCTGCCGTGTTTTGCTGCAGATTCCGACAATTATTTTGACGTACCTCAGCTTCTTCACCTTCTTGTTGGACGTGCGCATCGGGTAAGGTCAATACTACTTTGGTGTGTGTTTTCCGTTCCCTACAGTCTATCGATCTCACACTGGATCCCTTGAATTTTTGTATCCCTCGGATAATGCGATGTCGTTTCAATTTTGCCACGGCCAATGGGGTGTACGGCCTTCTCCAGCGAGCGCTTAGGCTTTGGTATGGCTCTGTGTCTTGTTGTTGTCGCCCAGCAGATCGTCACGGCCCAGTTAATAGTCGTTTCCAACGAACGACTGTGGCTCGATAAATTGGTGGGGTGGTCCTTCTATTGGGTTCTCTTTACGATGATAGAAAGCGCGGTCATTGGATTTCTTTACTATATCAGGGAAGATAGGGTTGCCAAGAAGGAGAACAAGAGGATTTCGATGATGAATTTGTCGGCTAGGAGGGCCATGATGGCTGGCGAGGACGGTTGTGTCGACGGCAACAAGAAGGAAGGGGCAGATGAATGCTTGCCGCTGACGCTTCAGAACGATGATGCTTTATCTAGCAAGGAAGCGATTGCATCACTAGATGGACCCGGACAGGAAGGCGTAGGCAATAGTAGCGAACGAACAGTTCGATTCGATGCATCAATCTTAGAAACCACCACAGCCAAGAAGCCTCGATCGCGTAGCCCTTATTCATACCTCAGGTGTTTGCGTTCCATTTCCTTGCGAAAATTCGACTATGGGTAAGATGACAAAAGGGCTAGAATTTGGTCTTTCTTCTCGGTTTGTTCTTTGGTGCTATTTTTGGCTGCTCTTCTCAATCACTGGTATTACTACAACAAAAATCTTTCTCTTTTTGTTTATTCGATGAATTTTCCTACTGCGTATAAGTTGCCTCGTGTTTTCGTTCTTGACTTACACTGCCTTCCTCATAGGGATGTACGCTACGGTGCGAGGCACTGATCTCTGGACGTCTCAGGATCCACACTGGCTCAGCAGTAAACAAGACACTACGGAAAGTACTTTTGCCCAAGTTTTTGTGAACGGAGATCCGGAGAATTGAATCCAGCATAGTGCAGAACGAACAAAACTTTTGTGGGGTATAGTGCATTAATTTCGCCTGTAATGGGGTGGCGAACAACAAGGAGCAGTTCTAAAAGAAACCGTCCGAGTACATTTGGTTGAAATTGATAGTCGAAGACAATAATCCAGCATACTGCAGTACTCGATCCGATTCAAACCGATTTGTATCAACTGCCAGGCTCCGTGTTTCGGTATCTATCGGTTTCAGAAGGGAACTCAGAAAGTTTGAACTACGTATTCATTTTTATTGAGGCGAGAGAGTGGTGTTAAAAATTGAATCGATAGAAATGCTAACTCCAATGCAGCTCAACCCGACCCAATACAACTTTTCATACCAACATAAATAAAAGCCCGGGTAATTCGTGGTCTGTTATCTCTGCTAGTATTATGTGTTTTGTTGCGTTGTTCGCAACCAAGCCACAACTCGCGCGGTAGGAGAGGATATCGTTTCCTCTATTCCTTCCTGCGTATCGGGCCTCGCAAAAGTGTCAGTTCCAATAAGCCCTTCATCCTTTTCATCCTTTTCGTTCCCTCTCAGGCGCAATAGGTCCTGTAGGTAAGGCCGGATGAACTCCGGGCTTCTTGCTTCCATCCTCATGACATTGCCTGTGTGAACCATGGGGGGATGCCTCACTTTCTTGTGCTCGATGAGCGCATAGGTCTGGTTGCGGATCGAGTCGACCGACGGATAATCCGCATACGGGGCCTGTTCCATGAGCTGGATGGAGCATTCCAGTGGTTTCGACGTTTTGTGCACCGTGGTGGTTTTGTACTCTTCCTCTTCCTCCAACAGAAAGCTCAAGAGGCGCTGGTCCATAACTATTCTTTCGCCAGCCGCCTTTTCGTCGAATTCTCGTCTCCACCGATCGAGGCAGGGTCTCGAAATGTTTCGATCTAGAACGATGTGACCACTCTCCATCGCATGGTCGTGATCGCTTGAGTTGTGGTTGGCTCGGAACATCCACATCTTACCACGGGCGGAAGAAGCTTGGACTTTTGTCACCGCATCTTCCAGAGCTTCGGTCCCATCCCCACTGCTTTGAAGGGCGGCTGTTCCAATAGTTTTGTCGGATTTCGTCGCCTCTGTTGTAGGTCTCCCGATTCCGTACATAAACTCCAGTTCCTGCATCGTTTCATGGATCATGCTCCCGAATAACACCGCCTCGTCCATATAATAAACAATCCGGACGCCGTCTAGCCGTGGATCCATGTCTATGTAGTCCAAGGCAAAGGTTTTCAGCCGGAAATACGCCATCTGCTCGTCGTGGAATCGGTCTTCTAGTAGGTCTCCGGGGCGGGGCCGTACAAGGAGGGTATTGGCATCGTTTTCGTCAAGAGCCGCGTTGATGCTTTCCTCTAGATCATCGAGGGATGGTGCGTCTGTTACAACAACAATCCAACCACGGAACTTGGCAATGTTACGGGCTGAGAACACGAAGCGCTCTAAGGGGGATAATTGTGTCTGATTGCCTATGGCAGGGTGTCCTTTTTGTTGCGGTTGCGGTTGCTGTCCTGCGATTTCTTCATGGGTTTTGTTTTTACCCATGCTCAAGACCACGATGGCCCTCCCCTGGTCATTTTCTAAGAGTTCGCTCACACTTTTGGACTCTAGCTTGAAGAGATTTGTGCTCCTCCTCTTCTTTCGTTTCTGCTTGCCATCATCGTTCTTGTTGTTGCGTTTCGCGTTCCCTCCTCTGTTGTCGGGCAACAACGCAACCTTGGAAACAGTTTCAATCGATTCTGCTGTTGTTGTTGTATGCGAATGGATTTCTGTTTGGCTATCGTTTTTTCCTACTCCGATGGACCAATTCACCTTTTGCTGTGAGCCTGTAGCAGCAGCGTAGGCACCCGGGGTGGAAACCCTCGTGCTAGTGTTGAGGAGTGGAGATACCGACACGTTGGGCTGCTGTTTGGGTTCCACGATCATAACTGCAAACGTTGGAAGCAACTCGGAGTGGTATTTTACGTACACCATTGGCATAAGTACAGAAACTACAAAGAACACAACCCGAACCAGTGACGACGTAGATGTAGACGAAGCAAAACGCCGAATCTTCCTCGACGGCGGTTGTTGTTGCTGCTGCTTTTGCTTGGCAACAGCTGTAACATGATTTTGTTCTTGCGGATCCGCGTCAACCCTGTGTCCACTCCCCGTTAATAGTGTCACTCTTTGTGGCTGTGCTTTCTGTTTCACGGACATAATTTGTTGAAGTTTAGTATGTTTGTTCGTCCGTTAGCTTGCGTGTCAGTCTCCAACGCCGCGATACACTGGTTTTGCTCGATGCTTCCCGTTGGCTATTCCAATCAACTTCGGTGTTAGTATTATCGAGAGTCAAAAACGGAGGATTTCTGTCTTAAAAAAAAAACATTCGTTGATACACCAAACAAGCTTCGACTACAAACGCAATCCATACCAGACCTTCGCTGCGTTACGAGTGCGGTACGTATCGTGCAATTTGCGGCAGGCTTTCGAAGTTAAAGGAATGGCTTGTATAAATTGTTTGATTGAAGAGATACAAAACTATATTCAAAGATATATTTGAGAGGTACATCTAATGCCATTGATTAGTCATACTGCGAAAGACCTGGTTCGGGTATGGGGAGAATTCAGGTACGAGTATTGGGAGAACGAGAAGAAAAATTCCATACTACGCGTTTCGTAACAATTGAAACCGGACTCCGCCCGAGAGCAATAAGTAATAATTTCAAGTTCTAAACTTCGATTTGAAGTTATTAACTTCAAAATGTTCCTGTAGAAAGTCTACCAAGTTCTACTGAGCTAGTTTTTGGATGGCATTCATTATTGAAAGGCCAGGATTCATAATTGAATCACCTCGAACCATTTTGTTTTGTTTTGAGGGGAATCGATTCGGTCATTCAGTCATTTTAAAAACAAGCTCAGTAGAACGTTAAGAACTCGAAATCGTTACTTTTTGCTCTCTTTCAAGGCCGATTTCAATTGTTAGGAAACGCGTAGTATTGAAGCTCTCTAATCCATGCTTCGATTGCGTAGTTTTTAGTAAGAATTCTCTCATGAGACGCTAGAAGTATCAAGAAGTTGAAGTACCAATTAGTACTTCGTACCAAGTAGAATTTCTTCATTTCGAAATACTGTAATGCTTATGTAAGCACTATCAAAAAAAATAATTAACACAATCCTCACTCTCCCGGCGAACATGTAATAGCCCCGAATGGTATATAAAAGGCATAAGCACCAAACGGGACTAAATAGTCTTCCTCGACGAATACCTGACACAAAACAATGATCGTTTAGGTAGGAGTTGTGCTGTCTCGTCGGATTTTTTCACGAGAGCTGCATGTAGCTCCCAGAACCAACGCGCCTGCCCACCTTGTTGTCATCTTTCTTCCCGTTTTTCTTAATCCCGGGCAAGAATCGTCCCATTGCAATGACCGTGCTGAACCAGTTCCTCTCAAAGTTGGGGAGCACCAGCAATGCGGAGAATAGCAGCTTCAATGTCAATGTCAATGGCAATGGCAATGGCAATGGCAATGGCAATGGCAATGGCAATGACAATGTCAATGACAATGCCAATTCCACTGGCCTCCTCCATGACAAAAATAATTTGTTGACTGTCAACCTTCTTGCTCCTTTCAGGCCCACTGGCAAGTAAAACAACTAGTAGTACTACTATGCCAATGAGGAGCCATTATCATGACTGGTTGTTTCAAAATTAAACTGTTTTTTATGAAATAGAATCACATTCTCAAGATGTGATGAATACAGTCACAAGCAAGCCACACACCAACCATCAAAACAGAAGAAGTGCTGGTGGGGAAAATCCGACGAGACTAGGCAAAAACATAAATGAACATTGCATAATGATGATAGTGCTACTACTAGTAGTAGTTACTACTACTAAAATTTTCTTAACTTTGAAATATTGAACAGTTTTGACTGGCACTGACGCCATCACTTGTTCTTCTTGCTGGGAGAAGGTTGCTTCTACTAGTACTAGTAGTAGTTGCTGTGAGGGACAGGTTTCCTAGATGAGCATGACTGGTATGGTACTCACAGATGTAACACTAAGAAGGTATGATGTAATTATTTCAAGTGAGAATTATTGTCTCTCTTTTTGTAGACTACCAGCATATCTTGAGAGATGCTCTCCAGTGGCTGTTTGCTTACAATAAATACTCATGGAGGGAAATACTGAGCAATCAGATTGTAATTGCATCTTTTATGCTCCGCCTGTAGGTTTTTTTTCATGAACTCTGACATAGTAGTAGTATCATGAGAAGGAAATGTTGGTGGGATTGGATGGGAAAGCTTCAAGGTCAGGGGGGAAAGTGTAGCTCAACTTTGGTAAGTTTCAGATAGAGAAAATTCAGTGTCTGACACCACATTTTCTAGTAGTTAATCACAGCTGGTGTAACAAGGCTTGCTTATGGGGAACAGTATGAAAATGGATATCTTTATTGCTTCCTCACTACAGTATGACACAAGAACAAGAATTCAATCAACTAGGCTCCTGATGCTACTAGGAAAACTAACATGAGAACAGCAGTGGGCAGAGAATGTGCATACTGGTGTCTCATGCAAGAACAAAAACAGCGGCGTAAGTCATTAAATTGACATCTTGTCCATTCGTGTTTGGGAACTGCACTAGCACAATTGTGGAGTTGGATCTCATTCCAAAACTAGCTATGTGGCAAGGATATTTGAAGCATCAATGCAGTATAAAGCCATACTGAGAGACTTGTAAGCTATAATCTTGTCAAGCATGTTAATGATATTAACATTACTACCACTGATGTTAATACAATAATCACAAGCATGGTTTGTAATGTCACTTGTAGTATGTTTAGCAAGATCATGCTTTCCTCAGCACTGTTACATATGCTAAGCCAAAACTAGTATGATGGCAAGCAAGAGTTGAAAATTGGTGATGAACTGTCATCAAAAACCATTGAAAAATTTTCAGGTTTAATAGTACCTTTTTCAATGCAGAAAGGCCAAAAGATGCTCCGGGACAAGGTAGCTATAAAATAAGAATTTGAACTTCTCAAACTAGTAGTAATGATGAAAGAAGTGTTACTCCCCACTCCTGGTACTAGTAATTTGTTTGAAGGACTCCATGCAGAATTTGTTGACAGCATGGATGTGTTATAGGACTCAGGTCAGATTCAGTTTAGCAACAGATTCAATAAGCTAGACTCCTCAGATTGTGGTTCCCATTAGGTTGGGAGAGCACTACTGAAACCACATAAAATGCCATGGCTTTAAGTGCAATGACACTTCTCAACTCACCAGGTTCAGAAGACCCCCTGTTTCATCTGGAGATGAGAGACAAATTGGCACACAAAATATAACAAAATCACATGACCATCCAAGAAGTGATTTGTATCAAGTATCAAATTCTGCATAAAATTTTTCATGTTGTCACTCAAGAGCCCATTGTTACAGAAGCTATGAAAAATACATTTAGTACTGGAAGCTTGGTTAGACAATATCAGACTCTATGCAAATTTGAATTTTTAAAATGACAAGGATGACTTGATTGTTGCTGCCTGTGTTTTAAGACTTCATGAAAAATGAGCACATTCACCTCATCAATTTTAAAAAAAGAGACTCCAGAGGAAGATTAATTGGAAGATCTGTCATGATTGATGATGGTACTAATGCAAATGGAGCCATGAGCCATGTGTACATTCAAGTCTATGGGTACTACTATGATTGTGAACTCATACACATTGAGAAATATTCTGTTTGATGATGTGTGCATGCTGACAAGGTTGAGCCAATAGAGTTAGTCCTACTAGACAGCAAGAAAGAAGGAAGCCACTAGTAAACAAGAAAGTGATTGCACTCACTTCACAAAGCAAGAATGCTGCACAGGCTACATTTTGATCTCCTGCAGAGGAACACGATGAATGAAAAATTACACATCAAACTTGAGGAAGAACTCACAATGGAATATACATAGGAGTAACTGAATTATCAATTAATATAACTACTAACACAACAAGAAGAACTAGTACTATTCACAAATTATAGCAGGGAAGAAGACACCCGTTTCACAACAAAGTACTGCAGCACAGGTTACTAAATTTTGATGTCCTCAAAAGGAACAGCACGAATAAGAAATTACACATCAAACTTGTATAAGTTACTACAATAGAATGTACAATTAGTAGTATTGCTACTAGCACACCAAGAATTGTTCAAAATTTACAGGGGATATATTTGGAAAATGTCCTGGTTTCAATCTGTTTGTACTCTCCTGGAAAAAGCAATCATTGAATTTATGATGTTTTGCTATGAAGAGGAATAAAAACTTCAAGTGCTGCTGGTACTGGTCTCCTGTTTGTAAGAAGAACACTTCTAGTACTAACAAACAACACTGTCAACAAAGTTCAACTCAGAAAGAAACAGATCAGTGAATTCCATTCCTATTTTAGAAACAACAAAACGGCCACACCAGTTGTTTTTTGTTCATTCACTTCCAGTAGTAAATTCTTTTTAATTTTTCCACCTTTGCACTGATGTACTTTCTGCACCATACTAGTAGTAGTAGTTGCCTGGTGGGTCAGCCAATCAATATGACAAATACCTGGGGTACACTTTTCCAATTGCTCTGGTATTCATAATCAGGAGTCAGATCTATGAAAAAGTATTTCGGTTTTTTTCTTGTGAGTACTATTGTGAAGGACTTCTACTAATAAGATGTTGGTTGGAAGATTCCTCTCTGCTCTTGGACCACGACTCAAAAACATACCACTGAAAGAATCTATTCTTAGTGCTACTACTACTAATAGTGTGAGCAAGAAGGAACAACAAATCCAATTTCACAACAATGCTAGACAGTGCTATTCACTTATTCTGGATCAGCTATTCAATTATGAGGTGATGCCAAACTTTCCAATAGCATGCGCCTTTCCTATTGCTCTAAACACGCTCTAGTATAATAGTTATTGGCCTCGTCCACAACAGCGTGGGTTACTATTGTTTCGGGTGGCATTCTGGTTGGTACCGTACCATCGATCATCTGTTGCAAATTTCTGTACTTCGCAACAAAAATAATGGGGGACCCGATTGCGATCAAAACAGAAGGAATTGAAAACCATGGTATAGTCACGACAACAAGGCAACGCATCGCATCGTGTGCACTCTGCCCGGTAGATTCCGTCCAAGCGCACGACTCCGAATCAATACAATCCACGCATGTTTCATCGCTTCGCGAATGGTGCAGCCATGGATCCTTGGACACCCTCGTTGTATCGGATGGTATTGCACGTCGCCGCACCGATCGTGCTGCATCGCTAGTAGAAGGTACCGAAGGATCTATGGTTGCACCAGCGCCGAAACCAACCAAGCGCCAAAACTCGTTCCGAATCGGAAACGGACGAAATCCCAAACGGGAGCGAGGCGGGTCGATTCGCAATCGATCGCGCCATTGCTTCCGCCCGATCCGTGGACGACGGGACGCGTTCCAAACAACGAAAGGTCCGCCACCTTGTGCAGTCCCGTTCTGCCACCGCAGTTTGTATCAAATGCAGTACCAATCATAGTACATAGGATCCATGGATGCACGTCACAACCGACAAGCCGGACACCACAGGTGTTCTTCGGCAGACTCTGTCTGGGCGGATTGGTTTGTGACCGAATCGCAATGCCAAAAGACGAGGTTCAATACGAAAGGGGAAGATTGTCAGAAAGAGGATTTAAAAAAAGAAAAGGACGGAGACTCTGCTCAATCCACAGCTCGAGGCACACCATTTCATTCCACCCTTGGTAGGTTCCGGGGCCTGTCATTAAAAAGAGCAGTCTCCCAATGAAAGGTGCAGAACACTACTCGGTGAGTTCCACCGATGACCATTCGTGGAAGAGCTATTGTGCATTGGGTTTGTGTGGCACGAGAGGGGAAACGAACTCGAGTTCGGATTCGATGAGACGAAACAGCGATTTGTGAAAGAATGACGAACAACAAATGAAAAAAAAAAAACTCGTGCACCGCTGTTGAAAAAGGCCTTGTGGAACACTCGCAAAGGGTCCATCGATTTTGGTCCAAAGCGTCGTTTGTACGGTACCGTACCGTACCATTCCGTCCGACCGCCCCCCGTTGTGAAAATAATTTGGCCTCATCGAACGGTTCTCCGCGTTCGGGTGCCACGGTACCGTACGGGTTGACGTGACACGTCCGAGGTCGCAAGCAGGGGTTCGGAATCGGTTTGCGGAAGGGCCTCGGGCGACGCCGGGGGCGGGAGGAAGGCCTAAAAATAAGGCCTTATCCAAAACCCCTTCACAACAATTCCGCGCGGTGTGAGAATCCCGTATCGCGGCAGTAGCAGTTGCGTCGTCCTTCGCGACGGGTGCGGGCGGTGCGATCCCCGCGCTCCGTCGCAACACTGGTACTGTCTGTACCGTACGGTGCGCAGACTACTGTTACGGCACCGGTTCGGAAACTACCCGAAGTTCTGTTCTTCGCTGCGCGGCCGAACCTTCCCATCCACCAGATCGGGAGCGAACGATTGCGTCAGAATTGTTTTTTTGAAAAAGGAAGGAGCTCGAAGAATTTCGAGCCGTGCGACACAGTAGCGCCAGACGGTCGAAACGGTGGGCACCCGAATTAAATTTGACCTCTCGGTGTGCCTCGTACGCAACTTGGACGCGGTTCTCCGTTCGACACCAAAGCATGTCCTAGAGGACGTTATTGGAACAGTTATGACGGCGTCGCATTTCGCGACAGATGGGATTGGTCGAGAAAAAAAAAAACCCACATCGTTAAATAGCATCACTCGCACCAGTACATCTTGATCGTTCCAAATTTGGAGACGAGAAACACACACATAGTAAAAACAGTATCAAAGTGTGACACGGATACGTCACTCTACGTCATTCTTGAAGCTCCTCGAAATTAGGAAGCGATTGGAATATATTCCTTTGTCTTCCTCGTTGTTACCGTACCGTACATTATCGTACAATACTGTACCATAGTGATTCTTCTCCCTCGTCCAAAGCGGCAGTTGGACCGACACGTACGTACCCACGACGAAACTACAAGCTTCCATTAGTGCTGCATGGGGGTTGTAGTACATGATTTTTTTTTAACGTAACCTTTGCCGTAGATTGGATCTTTTGGGTAGTACCGTGAAATTATCACGAAAAACTTCTATCACTCGCGGTGACACTTTCTCGTCATTTTTGCACATATTTCCATTGCACAATTCAAGGATACAAACATCATCATGGTCGAAGCAGACAACTCTCCCTCCAAGCCCAACAGCGAAAACCCAGTGGTTTTGGTTCTCGGCGGAACCACCATTGCATTCCTCATCGCCACAATCGTGCTGGCGGTGCAGAAGAACAACCTCTCGGCGGAATCCTCATCGGCAGCCCTCGAGGTCCCCATGTCGAACGTCCCCGACAACAAGTTCTACGACATTGCCTCGATCTTTTCCCTCGGAGACAACAAGTGCGACGGAACCAACCCCAAGTTCGACAATGTGGACTGCATCCACGTCCCCGGTCCGCAGGCCGGAGCCAACGTGACCAAGGGATATGTTGGTGGACTCGAAAGTACGTATCGCATTTGGACTATCGAAGCAGCAATGCGCAAAGAATGCGTGTCCTCGCATGCTTTGCGTGGAATCCATGGATGGCTTTTTCTCTAACCTCTTGTTTTCTCGGACTCGCTAAAATCCCAATCCACCGAATCTCTCTCCAACAGCCGATGTCGAACCCAACCTCAAGAACTACTGGCAGACCGCCATGTGCCCGGTCAACGTCCACTGGCACTTGGGAACCGAGCACTACTCGGTTGGTGAGTACGACGAGAACGGAAACGGACCCCACGGCAACGTCGGCCTCGAGCCGGAATCCGGAGACGCCGAGTCCTACCACGATGGACACACCGAGGGCGTCAAGGACTTTGCCAACATGACCGACGACGAGGTCGACTCCCGTTTCCTCGCGGCCGAGGACCACGAAGTCCGTGGAGGATTCCGTTGCCACCACTACGACGAAAACGACGAGAAGTTCACCAAGCCCTACGAATGGAAGCACTGCGTGCACATGGAAGTCGGTGAAACCTACGAGGTCCACTGGCCCCACTCCGCTGCCGGGGCCTGCGGAACCGTCGACCAGTACCAGACCCCCTTTTACGACGGTGTCTTTTGCAACCTCGATCTCGAGACCTTTTCCACCCTCGGTCCCCAGGACATTGCCTCGGCGGTCGGTGTCCAGGCACAGATCTTTACCATTGTCAACGACGAGTCCTACTTTTACCCCGATCTGATCCGCGGATGGATCGTCGACGAGCAGGAGAACATGGGCCAGGACGTTGCCTACTACACCGGAAGCACCACCGGTACCTCCCGAAACAACGACATCTGCTCCGCCTACACACCCATCACCTGGCAGGTCGACCGCAAGTGCCACATGATCTCCGCCTCGAGCTTTGACAAGCTCTGCTACGACATGAAGCTCCAGCGCGACGACATGTCCAAGGACCTCCACGCCCACGGATCCCGGGAACTCGTCAAGGACTCGCTCGTTGCCAACAACCAGGCCCGCCAGCTCCACGAACACGAACCCGTCACCGGCGGAGACGAGAGCGAGCTCACCGCAGAGCAGTTGCGCCACCTCCGCACCTACGGCCATTACCACAAATCCAGCGACCATCAAGAATGGTACTAAACAAAAAACACGTGCATGTTTTTCGATTCGGAGTTTCTATTGGGCAGGGAGCAGTTGCTTTTTTGCCTCGAGCTCGTTGCACTAGGAGCAACCCAGGAATCTACACATTGATGAATTTGACTACGTATTACACCGAGCGTCACAAAGACTATTACACAGAGAAGACGCATAGGTACTTTCATGTTTAATTATTTTGTCTTGAAAAAGTCAATTCCGTCTTTCTGCCATCTCTAGATGCGACACAAGCGTCGAAGCAACCGAGAGGAGTTGCAAGTGGTTTGTGTCACACATTCTTGTTCTTGTCACACCTCCTTCGGTGTCGCAGCCGCTAAGTGCGAGTGCTGTACGGTACATTTTTGTGATCTGTGGATGGATCTCTCTCGGAGGGTTCCATTCCACCAGAATTCGTATCTTCTGAGCTCACGTTGAAGTAATAGTACCGTACGAGTCGTCGAGAATTTTAGAACATACCGGTACGTATCGTACTTACGTACGTAACCTATCGTACTTACGTACGTAACCTTTTTCTTTGACAGAGAGGCATCAGGCATCCGACATCCCTCAGGCAAAACGATTCCATTCCTTTACTGTATTTCGTTTATTTCCTCCCCCCTTTCTTCTTCTGGGTCTGTGTTGGCCTCCTCACATGGTGTGGGACTTCATTAGCTTCACCGTAGTAATTGGTTCGTTCAGCGGAAGGGGGGGGTCTCGTCTGGGGGGATGGATTTTTAAGAAACACGGCACTCATCTGTTCTGTCGTAGAGCTGGTAGGGTTTTGAACTATGAAACATCGTACGGTACCGTAGTGCGATTTAACAAATAAAGCACACACCTTCGACTTCCACTGCCACCGAAGCAGACCAATCACGAGTGGATAGTGAATAAGCTCTTAGTTGGAAATAGACGATTTTGTGACTTGTGACCCCCGCATTCAATACTTCGAGGAAGTGAAAGGCACCGTAGCGTACTCGTACGTAGATACTAGGTACTGTACACGAGGGGTCATAACCCCTAGCCCTGCGGTACAACAGTACGAGTAGGGTATGACCCTGTACAAGTACGAAATACGAGTACTCGTACCCAAGAAATCTAGAAAAGGTCCTCGGGCAGAGCAAGCTTAAAGCACAACAGAACATTTCGTACTTTTACGACGGGTGTTCTTCGAACAGTATTCTGCATTCCAACTAATGAGATACGACAACTTCGTCGCATTCCAGTCGGAACCGAAGCGCAACCCTGTCGCGTTTTGTTGAGACCACAAAACGCAACGCAACACAATAGAAGACAACACATTCTGCACCTTGATATGTCTGAAACCTTTAAGCAGCGCAGCCGCAGGCACTCGCAGGAAACGACCGACAGCGATGCTCCGGATGCAAGGATGCCACGGGAAGAGGAAAGCGACAAGACGAAACGCGGCGACCGCGGGTACCTTCTGCACGCGGTGGGGATCTCTTTGTGCCTCGCCGTTCTGGTGCTGACCAAGCCGGAAGCGGCCGTGTCGGCTTCGTCCCTCATCGAGAAAGCAAGCAACCTGCGGGGCGACGGGACCGACGGGACCGACATCCAAACGCTCAAGCCCTACCACACGTGGCCCGAGGGATGCAATTGGAAGTGCTACATGGAGAACAATCCGGACCTCGAGAAAAACATGGCGGCGCCCGACGAGCATAACGCCATTGCGCACTGGCTCTTGCATGGCGTTACGGAGAAGAGGGACTGCCAGTGCAAGAACAAGACGAGGTAGTTGTTCCCAGGGAACGCTTGGTCTGTGGTGGAAAAAATTGTTTTGACAAGCAGGGGTGTCGATTTTCACAAATGATCAATCCCCCGGCAGTTACAAATAATGTTTTGTTAGAATATAGAAGTACTAGTACCTAGACAGGTTGCTTTTTTGGATTCGTCTATCACTTCTTCCTGCCAAACATCCCTCCTAGGAACCCGGTCACGCCCTTTTCCTTCACGTCGCTCGAGATTTCCTTCGAGATGTCCTTGCCGGCATCGGCGGCCTTGGTTCCGATCGTAGACGCCTTTCCAAAGACCCGCTTGATGCCCCGTGCCGGGGCCTTGATCAGGGACCCCACGCCCTGCGGGATGAGTCCCACCTTCTTGTGGCGCTCCGAATACGCCGAGATCCCGGCCAGGGCGTGCAGCCGCAGCACCCCGTTCGTGCAGGCAGCGGCGGCGATCACCGGTCGGTTCAGAGACGGCCCGAGATCGATGTCCAGCGCGCGGCTTCCGGACCCCGGGGACAGGTACCCGTCCACTTCTCCCTCGGACGACTCCGTGATCTGCCACTCGTCGATGAAGGCCAGCGGCGTGATCGCGGAAACGCGGTGGACCGTCACGCCCCGGCCGGAGCAAACCAGCACCGTGGTGCCGTCCGGGGTGGCGACGATCCTGGTGGGAATCCCTCTCCAGCTCTCCAGGGCCTTCGATCCGAGAGAAACCCCCTCGAGCGAAAAAAGGTGGAGGGTGATCACGCTCCGGCTTGTCTTGGTTTTCATCTTGGTCTCGCAGACCGCCACCACAAATCCCTGGACCGAAATGGCCACCGCGGGGGATTTCACAAAGGTCGTGGACAGAATCTCCATTCCTTCCGGCAATTCGAGCGTGTCCGTCGGGGGCTCGATGATGCGGATCACGCTCCCGTTTCCGATGGAATACAAGCACAGCCGCTTTTCCGACACCGTTACCGCCACGTTGATGGAGGCACTCAACCCAACGGCATAGATAGGGGAAGAACAGTGTCCGGACAGATATACCCTCGGGCGCAGAGGCAGAAAGTGGCTCGACATGAAACGCCAAATGGAGGCCGTTCCGTCGGAACTTCCAACAATGGCCAGTTCTCCACCGACTCCCCCGTGGCCGGCAGAATTTCCGATGGGATCCGTGGCAATGCACCGGATGCGGGACGAATGGATCGAACCAACGACCGCTTCGCCACGAACCACACCCTTGGCGGGATCCACCAGCTGCATCGCTAGTCCTCCGCGACCGTCCCCGTCGGAGAGAACCAACAAAACCGATATCCCTGCAAAAAGAGTCTTGGAAATGGCCACGGCAGGGTACGTGTAGCCGTGGTTCGATTCGTCCCCCTGGAGATGCGATGGTTTGTGTACCAGCCGGGGGACCGTGCGGAAGCGCGGCAATTCTCGTTGCGCAACAAAACACCCATTGTCCCTGGGGAATGTTGTGCTGCTTTCAAAACCTGTAATCTGGGTGGAATCTTCCGCTTTCCACGCCCATCGGAAACAATGAAACACGCCCTGGGCATCGACTGCCAGGCAGCGATCGGTGCCGGCAAGGCGGACGCTGATCAACGGTGCGTGGGGGCCCGGAGGAGGCGCATCCAAATGGACCCAATGCGACATGGGCGCCGAAAAGAAGGGCAGATACAGCGGCTTGCCAAATATTTGCTGCCCATTGCTAGAGCATGTGAGTGGTGTAGATTCTTCGTTCTCGTCGTCGGTGGTTCCCTTTCTGGTGTCTATTCCAAACGTATAGGCACTCGTTATTTGATAAAACGTCAGTCTGGTCTTGTTCACGTACTGGACACGTCTCACGTGCGGTCGCACAAACAATTGCATTGGGCATTGACCAAAGTGGGCGATCTGCAGTTCTGTGGCCTGACGCAAGCCTTCGTCTTCGATGGCAGCAACATCTACGCTTCCGTAGTACGTTAGGTAGAAGAAAACGTTGTGTGCAGCAATGGCTTCTGGGCCTTGCTGCTTCCTCCCAAAGATGAGATCTATCCAGTCCGGGATCATTGCGGAACATATATCACTCTCGAGTGCGTTTCGCATAACCTCGATAAACTTTTCAGCGGATCCTTTCGCCCAAGGGGGCAAGACTACGTCTCCGATCAGCTCGCCGTCCTGGGAAGTTCCAAGCCTGAATTTGTTCGTGTTTTTGAGAAAAGAAGGGTTGCAATACCATTCGGGCGTCAACTCTTTGACTTCCGCGGCGGAGGATCCGGTGCACATCTCCCACGTGCGCGGAACCGAAGAAAAGAGACGATCTGCAACGTCGAAATGTCCCCCCTGAAGCTGCCTATGAAGTCCTGCAAATGGATGCAGTCGAACAAGAAAGTGCAGCACGACACCGGCATTTGTGGAATAGTGACTGCCATACATGAACGGTGGAATCGATGGATCAGCGAAAGTATTGAACCGCTCGATGAAGTCTTCCAAGCGACTTGGATTAAGAGCACCCATAGGTTTTCTAAGGTCGCGGAAGTTGTCTGGATTGGTGAGATCCGGTATTTCTTCAGAATGGTAGTTCGAAAGAACCCATGGCATAATGGGGTATTGGCAAGTGTCGTTGTAGCTTCTTCCCGCTAGTATATTCAAGTGAAGCAGATAGTCAAAGTTTGTAATTCGACCCTCGACCCAGCCTATTGTCAAACGACTTAACTGATTGTGCAAAAATTGAGCATCGTGGTCGGGCCACTGCTTGATGGCCTGTGGAGGGGCCCGCTTCATGATTGCAAATGCTGCATCATCACGTCGAGTTTTTCCTTCGTAACCAGGGCCGAAGTCGAGGAAAAGAGATGTGGAAGGGGAATATAGACCATACCCGCCAAACGAAGTCCCGCCAGATGGTATGAAAAATAATTCGATGGAAGAGTCTCTCAAACGATACCGACGAAGGTAAACGTGGGAGAGTTCCGACAAATTCCAACGAATTGATTTTGGCCTCAAGGCAGCGGTCATTTTGTGTCGGTTCTCTATTTCTTCTTGAATTTTATCTCCGTCCTTAGCAATACCGCCCTTCGATTCTTCGATCATCCGTTGTCGTTCTGCTTCTTCCCGAACAGCCATCATTTCCCCTTCGTACAATCCTTCACTATCGATGTCATACTCAAGAATCAAATGGGTGGAAGTGAGAAGCATCGAGCATTTCCTGCTTCCTTCTGTTTTGACATGAAGACAATTTTCTAAGTGTCTTTCAATCAACCCTGCGGCGGCGGAGTGCATCAGGCCGAGCGTAGACGATGAATTATCAGGCGGACTTGCGAAAGCACTGGCTGTGATGTTGAATTGCATCGAATCCACTTGGGTCTTATCAAACTCAACTTTTTCTTCTTCATCTCTGTTGTATGCATCGATAGTCGTAGCTTCTTTGTTAGCTGGTGTGGTCACGGACTCTTCTGGTTGTTTGTCTTCCTCGTCTGCGCTTCTGGGCCTCGAAATGTCCAAAGGCGTTTCTGCGAAATCATCATCTAGAGTGTCCGAAGTTGGAAGTTCAAGGGCAGGCTTCTCTTCTTCATTAATTTCCTTCTTGGTAATATCTACGATTTCGAGATGGCCAGACTCGATCAGCGATTTTGTGAAAGCGTCGATGTCGGTCTCTTCGTCATGTGCTGCCTGATCCACAGAACCAGGGTGTCTATTGTGCGAACTGTTGTCGAGATATTTTGGAATGAAACGCCTAAATTGTGGTTCGCACGGTATGGAGACGATGCGACTTCGAACATCTCGGTTCCCATCCGCGATTCCTCTTTCCCAAAACTCGTCGGCATTTCCTTTCCTTAGCATCCCCATATACCTCGTCCAACAAAACCTCTCAGTGTACGAAGAACAACTATTTCGATGGTTCGGAAGAAATATCTCCGTGACCTCCATCGTTCTGTTTTTTTCCGAAGCGGCAAGCTCGATGAATGTCGTCATTGCATCGGCAGCACCCTCACACCCTCCGAGATGGAACACATCCATCTCGGGCAGGGCTTCCCCCGTGGAAGAGTCTTCGGATAGTACGGCACCAAGAGTCAAATCGAATAACTTCACCAACTCAGTATCCACCGCATCCATGGCAGAGAATTCGTCCCATGCATCGAGGAATGGCGACAGCATTTTCAGCACAATTTGTGCGGAGGCTTCGAGACAGTCACCATTGTCAATCGGCGTGCCGTCGTTGTTGGAACACGTTTGTAGCGCAGCACTAAACCCTTCGTATTTGCTCCACTCCATCTTCGCCCTGTTGACAGTTGAAGCTCCCCCCGCAGTGAGACCTTCGTTCAGCAACAAGAAATCGGCCGGAACTCGATCGCTCTGTTGCTCAGAATCATTTTCGAACGATATTTCCTCGACGGGTTCCTTTAGGGTCTCATCGGTAGAGCGTTCGTTGGAAGGGGGCACGATCGAATCGCCGAGAATTAATTTCTCTACGGCCATAGAATCGGCGGCGGCTTCCTCATCTTGTTCGTCGTATGCATCCACGAGAGCAGTTTCACGGCGGCGGCGCTCGCCTTCGTACCGAACACGAATTTCTTCGGCCGTCATGCACAACAGGGACGTGAAGGTCTTGATAGCTGTATCGTCGGTTCCATTCTTTTGCGCCTTCAAATCCCTTCTCAGGACGGCCATAGCGTGCAAGGCAATGTCTCGTGCATTGGCAAAGGCCAAACCGACGATGGCCCCCATAAGCGAATGACGCAGCTCCCTGGCTACGTATTCCAACAGGGATACGGGCTTTTCGTCGTCTTGGGACTTTTCCTTGCTTTCGTCGCTGGATTCTCCCTCCTTTTCTGGCGTGCTGGGAATCACGATTTGTGTCTCGGACGATAGGTTGCCAATACCTTCCAAAATGATTCGAAGAGAAGGCTGCAGGACCGGCAGCATGATTTTCGCCGCTGATACCGCTGACTCGGTTCCTCTCGAGCTGCTTTTGTTTCCCTCTTGGTGCGAGACAGGTGGAGTTGGCAAAATCAGCTGGCACCAACCCATCGTGTCTCGACCATACTCCAAAATGTACAAGAATGCACACATAAGCAGCTTCTGGTCGTTTGAATACTTGCCATCAGTAGTGAACGAGCACCGTAGCAGTTCTTTTTCTTCGACGAGCAAGCATAGCCTCGACACTGCCGAACTCATAGAGAGAGTCCACAGTTCCCATTGATAGTCTCGCTTGAGACACCTCATCAAAACCATCGCTAGCAGACGGCACAAAAGATTTTTTGTCACCGGAGTGAAGTCTGTGTTCGAAGGAATCTGCTCGCTATCTCCTGCTCCGTATGATTCAACCTCTTTCAGCGTTCCAAGGACGCTTCTCCAGAGCTGCGTGGAGGATTCCCCACCGCCGGACTTCATGGCACGGCACATTAGTTCCGTAATAATCGTAAGCACGCTGTTTTGGCAAGACTTGACCACAACCAGCGTCTTCTCGGTGTCGCTTTCACCATCTGCCTGTCCCGGCATGCTCACGGAGGCAACACTTGGGAACGACTCTTTTGCTGTTGAAGACACCTCGACCCACGTTCCATCGTCGGCTCCTCTTTGCACCATGGCAGGTGCGCCAAGAATCGTCAGAATCGATGGCTTGCCTTCTTTGTTTTCCTCGTCGTTTCCAAGGCCCACCAAAGATTGCTCGAGTGCGTTGGCCACTACCAAGAGATGGGGCACGTATGCCCTGGCTGTTTTTGTTTCCCCCGAGTCACCACCGTTTTGCTTGTTTCCGGTTTTGCTTCGGCTTCCATGGAATGCAGCCGAGTGTGTTATGCCTCCAAACACGCGGTAGAAGGAGCCCGTGACCGCCGTGACGACCTCGGTGAGCACGCGGAGGGACTCCCCGGAAGGGACCTCGCCCCGGTGTTGCTCCTCCACGCTGCCCGCCGCAGCAGGCACGGGCAGAAGCGAGACGACCAACGACGGAAGCAGGGGCATCATGACGGCCAGTCGATCGGAAAGCAGGTCGCTGTAGGACCAACCGTCGCTTCGCAGGGTCGAGGCAACCGTCATGGCCATGGTGGGATCGGGAAGGAACAGATTCTCGGCGTAGCTTTCTCCGGCGCGTTCCAAAACGCTTTCGAGGGAACCCGCCATCCCGGAAGCCAAAAGGAGGGACCCCAGCGAGTTTGCGGCGGCGTTTCCCTCGGGTCCGGCGATGGACGAGATCCAGGCAAAGATGACGAGGCAGATCCTCCAGTTTTCTTGCCACACGCGGGATTCGTCCTTTCCGACGCCCGGGACCGTTTTGGTTCGACTGTGGTTCGAGTCCGTGCCCATGGCTTCCTTGTTGCCCTGCGATGTGGTGGAAAAGACGGTCCGGCTAAGGAGCATGGGTGCAATGACGTCGTGGAACTGGGACAGGATCAGGTTGCGCGCCAAACGGCTTGCCACCTTGCACTTGTGGCCGTCGTCGACCAGGTTGCTGCTGCTCCCCCGGGAGTTGCTGCGTTTCCTTCTCGGAAAGGAATCGGATTCGTTCGCACCGGAGACTCTTTCCCCCTCGGCGGCCGCGGAATCCCCCCCGGACGAGGCATCGACAAAGCCCGGCGGAACGATCTCGCACCACTCCAGGATGCCCCCGATCGCTCGAAAGACCACACGGGCACAGATGCTGTCCATCGGGCATTCCGACAGCGCCCCCATGCAGGCGGAAACATCGTGCTCGCCCTGGGAGACGGAGCGGTCGCTGGAGAGGCTCGAGAGGAGCATGGCCTCGAGAATGTCTCCGCAGGAAACTCCGATGCTTCGGAGTTCGCGCTCGCGCTCGCCCCGGGGCCTGCCGGACGATGGTTTGCCGTAGCAGTGGTGGAGCTTGTACTTGAGCGTGTCCAGAAAGTACTGCACCGAGACCTGGCTCCGGACGATGTGCCCCGAGGTGACGCAGGTTCCACCGTACCTCTGCGCCACCGAAGAGAGGAGGGAGGACGCCGCGAGGGGGTCCTCCCCCCACAGGTCCCAGTCGAGGGCCAGGCCGAAGAGGCAGGTCAGCGCCAGGTCGGACGTCCTCTGGATCTGTTTGGCCGGGGAGAGGTCCTCGACGAATTCCGAGGGCGGCCCGCAGCACGCGTCGATCAGGTCCAGAACGGCACTCGTGACGGCCTCCGGAACGGCCCTCGGAGACACGGGGAGGAGGTCCATCGTGGTCGAGAGGGGGTTGCTGGCGGTGCTGCTGGTGGTGGTGCTTCCCCCGCTTGCCGCGTGTTCCCCCATCGCCGCCTGCTCGCTGGCCTTGGCCCGGACCAGGTCGCCGCAGGTCGCGTAGGACACCACTCCCAGGAACTCCGACCGGACCAGAGACTGCCGGAGCGAGCTGGCCAGGACGTGGACCGTCCCGTTCTGCAGGAGCTCCTCGTGCCACCGTCCGCCCCCGGTCCGGACCGAGGCCGCGAGGGTCCGGATCAGGCAGGCCGCGTAGGCGGCCCCCGACGAGTAGAGGGCAAAGAGGTGCTGGAGGCTGTCCGTGGCGGCCCCCAGCTGCAGGTTCCAGCGCGTTCCGGGGGGCGGGAGGCTCAGGAAAAAGGGCAGGACGACGCAGGCGTCGAGGGACTGGCCCTGCAGGAGGAGGACCGAGAAGAGCTTGGAAGTCGAGTCCACCAGCTCGAGCGGGTCCAGCGCCTTGTGGATGGGCGTCGGCAGCGAGAGGAGGTAGTCCGAGAGGTTGTGGTGGATCGAGCAGCCGCTCCCGACGATGAGCAGCGAGACTGGGTCGTGGCCTTCGCTCTCGCTCTCGTATTCCTTCGGGCCCCCGCCAAAGTAGCCCCTCGGGGGGTCGTTTTGCTCCCGGGCCGGCGGGGTCGGCTGGATCAGCCCCACCCGCGGGGCGCCGTGCGTCGCCCCCCTCGGGAGGGGCATGGTGCAGATTATGGTCTGCTCCGGGAGGCCGCCCGGGCCTTCTCCGGAACGGAAGGTGACCCTGGAGTCGACGGCCGACCCCCAGAGCGCGCAGGACGCCCCCAGCTGCTGGACCCGGAGGGACTGCCCGTGGACCACGAGGGGGATCCCGACGTGGACGCCCTCCAGGGAGGACCCCTTGGTCCAGTTGGCGACGGGGGGCATCCGCGGGAGGCCCCCCCCGGACTGGAGGGCCATCGCCGGCCCGGCCTGGGCCAGGAGGGCCTGGACGGTCGGGGTGAAGACCTCCCCGGCGAGCAGAAAGGTCGCCAGGTGGAGGCTGAGGTGGTGCTTGGGCCTCGCGGTCGAGTGGAGGTGGTCCTTCTGGAGGTCGCTGGCGGTCTTGGAGCAGTCGCTCGCCCCCGCGCCGAGGATCTCGCAGCCCCCCCCGCAGACGTTTCGGAAGAGGGTGTTGTGGCCCAGCAGGGCCGCAACGGACGCCTCGTGGCCCCTGTGTTTTTGTTTTTTCTTGTGGCCGGCCTCGGAAGGCTGCGGGTAGGCGAGCTCCCCGCTGGCGCAGGCCCTCCCGTTGACGCAGACCGTCCAGTGGGGACGCTTGAGGTAGGGAAAGACGTGGGTGATCCCGATCATGGACCACTCGCCCTCGGGCAGTTCGAGCGGTGCCACCACAAAGGGGGCCGGGTCGAAGTTTGCGTCGGCCCTCCCAGCTGCCGCCGAGAGGCCCTCGTGGGGGAGGGAGTGCGCCCGGAGCGTCGTGAGGAGGGTGCGCGGGGCCCGCTTGTGGTTTGTGCTTTGTTTGCTTCTGTCGCTGCCACGTTCTGGTTCCGAACAGGCGTTTTCGTCCGTTTCCAGGGCCCGCCACTCTCCCACCGACACCGAGACCCCCGTGGAGGAGGTCGCGTCCTCGGGTCCCTCCGCGAACCGATAGAGGAGCCGGTCGCTGCCGGTTCCTTCTCCCAGTGCCTCCGCGTCGTCCTCGGCCACCGTCGTTGTTTCGGTTTCCTCGGGTTCCTTTTCCGCTCCGATGACCGGCCGGACCCACAGCAGCAGCGTGTACGCCTTTCGAAAGTGCGCGTTCCAGGCCAGGGGGGGAAGCCTCCCCTCGGTGGTGGTGCGTTCTCCGGAACTATTGTTGTAGCTCCCAAAGCTCCAGTAGCCATCGATCTCGTTCAGAAAGGGCCGGATCGCCTCCGCCCTCGCGAGTCGCTCTCCGACGTCCATGGCCGGGTCCAGAAAGGAAGCCGCCACGGCTTCCGACAAATGCCCCGGGAGGGAAGAAGGGTTCGGTTTCGAGTTCGAGTTCGGGTCCGACCCCGGAGAGGAAGGCGACGACGGGGGTGATTGCTGTTGCGAGTGGCTGGATTTTGCCTTGTGTTTGGGAGAACCCGGATCGATCCCGGGGGACACACCGTTTTCGCTTGCGGGGGATTCCATCGTGTTGTTGCTGCTCTTTTTGTCGGTGGTGGTGGTGGTGTTGGGCTTTCGCTGGTATTGTTGTTGTTATCGTTGTTGCTGTCGTTGTTGCTGTTGTTGCTCGGTTCGATTTCGTTTTGTCTCCTTTCGTCCAACTAGATCGAATGGATCCGGGCGGTACGAAACAGCAGGACGCAGCGAAGTATTAGTGAAATTATGTTACTCTGTGACTGCTGCTGCGCTCCTTTCTTTGCTCCATTCCTCGGATGTGTTGTCGTGTTATTATTATTTTTTTCAAGGTTTTCTTGTCGTCCTGTTGTCGTTCGTTTGCGTCGTTTCTGGCTCTGCACAAGACTACTCGTCGTCTCTTCCCCGGGGTACTACTGCCTGTTCGTCTTGTCTGTCGCGTTGCGTTGCGGTAGGGTCTTGTGGTCGAATCGTTGGTGCTGATGCGTGCATGCGTGCATGCCTTGCTGCATTGTTTGTTTCGCGTATGTGTCGCGTTCGCGGTGTTTGTTGCGATGGCGATGGCGATTGCGATCCTGCGTCGAGCCGAAAAATCGGAGCTTCTCTGTTCGTCGAGCAAGGAGCACGGAGAATACAACCAGACCATTCGTACCTCCGGTACGAACCTACGTACGAGTACCGCGCAGAGGAAAACAAAATTCAATACTTATGGTAAAGTGGTGCGAATAATCTGCATTTTGATTCGCGTGCACATCACTCTTTCCAGAACCAGTACGCGTCGTACGTGAACTACAAAATTACTGATACCTACCCCTACCGTACCAATCAATACACAGCCTAGCCCAGGGGTCTAAATTATGACTTGTGGTACGGTACGGTCTTTTCTTTGGCTATTATGACCCCTTTTCCACTGTTTCTCGTGTGATTGTGAATCCCGAGTAGATCGTGAATGACCCGACTCTTTCTTTTAAAGGCAATACAACTCCAAACAGGTTATGAGCAGTAATTGAACTACTGCATCTCATCAACTGAGCAGTTTGATCTAATTCGCTCCTGAACTCGTAACTCGTAACTCGTACGAGTACTCGTACCCTGTTTCTTCTCCTGGAGGCCGCAGAGTACGTGTACGTACCTTACCTAGGTTGATTGAACTTCACATCCCGCCTCGAGCCTTTTTCCGAAAGGATTTTTCAGAAAATCCTATCATATGAAGCGAAAGCAGTACGAAATGACGTTAAATCACACAGAACAGCATCATAGAAAAGAACTTCAGAACACTTGTGACAGCACGCCAAGACACACAACTCGTTACAGCGAGAATATCCCCTCTAACCACACTACAACACCGCAATTCACATATCTCACAACCTCAAGTCACCAGCTGCAACATACCAAGTAACATACGTTGTTCCTTCACTGAAAATTGATCGATTCATATTCCATAAAGCTGCCAACAAAGAAAGAGAAGATCAGAGTTCGAGTGGTGCATCAGAAGAAACAGAAGCAGAAGCATGTCGTATTCCTCGGCCGCCAGAACCAACCTGTCCTCGCAGGACGTCCGAATCAGTAACTACAAGCTCGGTGAGGGAGCCTTCCGCGTGTGCCACGAGGGAACCTACGTGGGAGGGAATCGGAACGGCCAATACGCGGCCTGCAAGCGTTTCAAGCCGCAGTTTCGATCGATGGAAACGGAATACTTCGAGAAGGAATTTATGATCGCCGATACCGCCATCCACTACGCGGAGCAGTGGAACGACATTTGCGACCCCGAAGATAAAATCCTCATCACCAAGGGACACATCATTTACTCCAACAGTGGCATTCCGTACATGGCGGAGCCGGTGATCCGGGATTTCAAAAAGTTCACATCGAACTCCGGTTGGATCGATGAGAGCGATATCTATACGGAAGCTATGGAGGCCTTTAGCCACATGACCTACCATAACTCCGGGGGCAACCACCTGGTTTGCGACCTCCAGGGGCGCTACCGGAACAACTACCGCAAGTCTCGCTTCGAGCTGACGGACGTTGCGATTTGTTCGGTCGCCAGGGAGTTCGGTCCCGCCGATCTCGGCGAAAAGGGGATCGAAAACTTTTTCGCAAACCACCAATGCAACAATTTCTGTTTCCCCCACTGGCGTCGTCCCAACCTCGCGCGCAGATGGTTTCCGAGCCAACCCGGCACCTCCATGTTTCCCGCAGGCGATGTTCGCTTGCAACGACCGAGCCCCGGGACCCACTTCCAGCTGGAAGGTATCAGTGTTCGACCAGGCGCCTACCAATTAACTACAACAGAAGATGGGCTGATTCGAGGGCTGTTTCCAGTTCCACAAACTTAACAAGTCACTCCAGTTCAAGGTGGTTCTAATGGCCCAGTTCGGTTCCAAGGTCCCCCAATACCATGCGGCCAAGAAAGCACTGTCTCCCATTAATTGTTTCTTGCAGTATATTTTCTCTTTTTGGGGCTATGGCTGCGGATTGGAGGAAGTCGCCCGGGTCCTGATAAAATAATGGCTAATTACCAATAAGAACGAATCATTTTTTGGTTTCTAATTTTTGTTGTCCTTTCTGCTCACCCTGGCGTCATCATCGTCAACGAACGCAGTATGGGGCAAGCAACCGCCAAGGTTTGTTCATTCCTCGAGAGGAACCATACTTATCCCGATGCAACAATAACTCGAAACGGACGCAATGAAATTACTAAGTCAGCACTCCCACTAGCTATGATTATTGTTGATATTATTATCTGTGAGCCTTGCAATCCAATGGCACCAAATGAAGTGTGTATGTCGGCTTTCTGATATGTGCCTTGAAGCGAACCGCCGAAAGCAACAAGTCTCGAAAACATGTCGATTGTCTGCATGCCAAGAGCCACGATGAATATGACTGGATTGGGCAAACAGCCACGGGCAATGCCATGGCCAGCGCCGTGTTTTCCTCATGCTCTCATTTCCGCTGTAATTTCGTGGTCCTCATGATACTCTATCTCATTCTAGATCATGGGTTCTCCCCGTTCCAACCACCTCATACGTATCGCGTTCTCTGACCCTCTCTTTTATGGATTCATCTGCCGATTCACGTGTTCCTCCTGTTTCCATAGCCACAAAACCCAACATCTCCCTTGGCCTTTCATTATTCCTATACGCACAAGGATACCAATCTAACTCGAAGGATAAAGATGTGTAATAAACGCATGACGTCGTAAAGACACATACTGCAAACGATTGATGACAAAATTTCTATACCATAAACACAACATCGGCTTTTGCTTGGAATCCTCCTGAAACGTTGAATGTATGATCGTGTCATACCATACGAAGCAAAGCTCGATCATGTCTGCCATGCACTTTGTCCAGTAAGATTGGTTAGATACTAGATGCACAATATACTCCGAACTCGACGTAGTTATAAATAGGATGCAAAATGCGGGACTGTAGCGTTTTCTATTGTGTCGCAAGGCAGCAGAGAGCTTGCTTTCTGCTTCCTAGCGCTGTTATTTCTATTCCTTTTGGCACCATCTCGACGCCTTTGATGCACCTCTTTTGGCGCGGGGCTACCTGGGAATCCGTCTCCGCTTTCCGAGAAACAAAAACCAGCGGCGGTCCACCCGCGGGGGGACACCCGGTGGGTTTTCTCGCTCGCAACAACCTTTTCAATGGACTGGCGTCCGGTGCGATCCCGCGGATCGTGCCGCTCGGACGGATCCGCTGGCTTTTGTTTCGTTTCGTTTCGTTTCGTTCTCACTCGCTCGCTCGTTATCAGCCGCCCGATCCGACGCTGGCGGTGAGGGCGGCGGCGGTGCCGCAAGGGGTGCCACTCCCTACCGACGAGAGTCCGGCCCCAAAGGACCGAAACTCGGAGAGCTGGTCCGCCAGCGACACCACCGGGTCCGCCCCGGGAGAAGAGGCCCGTGCTTGTGTTTTGGTTGGTGCCTTTGGCGCGGAAGAGGGCGAACCGGGCTGGCCCCCGGCGCTGCCGCCCCCGAACATGGCCAGGCGCCGCGGCGGGGCCACCATGCCCATCGAGGCCTGGAGGGAGGCCGAGGCGGACGCGGAAACACCCGAGCCCTGGGGCTTGCGGGGGGAGGACCTTTCGTTGCCAATGCCCTCCACGGCAAAGGGCATGTCCTCGGCCTGCTGGTGCAGGCCCGCCGGGCCGTCTGGGGGATGGTGGTGGGAGTGGTACGGGCTTTCGGCGCCGCCCCCAAAGGCCGAGGAGGACGGGCCGGTGGAAAGGCCCGACCGATCGAACCAGGGGCGAAAGCCTTCGGTGGCGCTGGTTTGGTGGGTGGATTCGCGTTCGTGTTCGTCGTGGTGGTGGTAGTGCTGTTGGTAGTGGTTGCTGTGGGTCCCGAGGTGGTAGTGGTGGTGGTAAAAGTCGTTGATGAAGGTCGTCGCGGCCTCCATGCTGGCGTGTTCCTCGGCCTGCAGAAAGGACGAGAGGCCGTCTTTCTCGAGGTGCGCTTCTCGGCCCTCCCCGGCGGAAGCCGGCACCGAGGACGCCCCGGCGGACGCAAAGGGGCTCGAGTGGAGGAGATCCAGGGACGGCTCGTGGTCGTCCCCAGCGTCCCGCTGGGACGACCCGGGTGCACCACTTCCGACGGCGCAAGTGCCCTCTGGTCCGTGCAAGAGGCCCTCCTTTTCCGGCCCCCGTTCGGTCGCACCGCTTGGGGCGAGAGCCGCCACCGGCTGCCCCGAGAAGCCGAGGGACCGGACAAAGGGGGGCGGAACGGGTGCCCCCTCGGACCCGGTCTCGCCCCCCGCCGAGGAAGGGGCCGGCCGGCCCGGGGGGACCAGGAGGCCCGCGGTCTTGCTTCCCAGGTAGCTCCCGACCGAGGGCGTCCCGCTGAGCAGGTAGCCCGGCGGGGTGGTCCCGTAGGTCGAGGGCGTCATCGAGGAGGGCCGAAAGCCCGGGGAGGACGAGAGGCCGCCGCCGTGGTGGTTGTTGTAGGCGTACCCGTATTCCCCCACCCCGGTGGCCGCCACCGGGGGAGCCCTGTGGAGGGCGGCCCTTCGTTTTTCCGAGGCGGCAATCTCTTCCGGGGTTTGTTGGTCTTGCTGCTGATGAGGGTGTTGCTGCTGGTGTTCCGGGGTGCGAGCTTGCCGCTGTGGATCGTCGCTCGGGGTTGGTTGGCTGGTGCCCCCGCCGTTGTTCCCTTCGTGGTCCTTCATCGTCAGGAGGGCCAGCGACAGGGCGCTCAGGTTCTTGCCCCCGCCGATCCCGCCGGACCCCGAGCCCTGATTCGAGGCACCCGGTGGACGGACCTCGTCCTCCTCCGGGCCGGTTTCGTCCCGCGCAAAGCCGGTCGTCTCCGTTGCAGCCGAAACCGAAACCATCCCCTCGTGGTGGGTCCCGCTCCGCCGCCGGAGCCCGTGGTGGGATCCGGGGGCCAGGAGGTTCGGGTGCAGCGAGGCCGGCAGCGGCTGTGGTTGTTGTTGTTGCTGCGGTTGCTGTTGTCGAAGGTGCCCCCCCGTGTGCTCCACGGGGGACGAGTGGGACCTCCGGTAGCCGCGGTGGGGGGCCGACCGGGCCACGGGTTGCTGCTGGGAGTGCTGCTGCGAGGGCGACGAAAAGAGCGTGGTTCCGTTCGTGGGAGGGGTGCTGCTATAGTACTGCTGCTGGTGCGGATGGGACCGTGGGTGGTGCAGGACCTTCATCGGGATCGACCTCGTGCCCGTCCCCGGGATTTCCCGCGTCCGCAGAGACTCGCGCCCGCGCTCCAGGGCCACCAGCTTCTCCACCAGGGCCCTCGGTGCCGTGTAGGCCCTCCATCCCAGGACGCCGTAGGGGGTATGCACCCCTCCGGGCGGACCACCACCACGAGCGGCCGCCGACGGCTCGCTGCCAAAGCCCTGCTGCAGCAGGCCGCTCACGTCGTCCTGTCCCTTGCCGACGACGTAGACGGAAAAGCCAATGTGGCCGCTGCTCCGGCTCGTGTTCGTGGTTGTGCCTCCCCTCTTGCGGAGGGCCTGGGCCGGGAGCAGCCGCGAGTGGCAGTAGAGGGTCCTCAGCCACACCACAATGTTCTTGCAGACCTTTCGCAGCTGGACGATGGGGTCGTCGAGGGAGGCCAGAAGACCGCTCTGCGGTTCCGATGCCGATTCCACCGGTGCGTACTCGAGGCACCACCGCTCCAGGAGCTCCCGGTCTCCCTCCGCCCGGGCCCCTTGCTCGTTCGCGTGCGCGTTTGCGTTCGCGGCCGGTGAAGGTGCGTGCTGGTAGTACACGTCCAGGCGGAGCGGGACGTGCATGGTTCTCTTCCACCGCTGCAGGATGGACCTGTTGGGTGGGCGATAGAGGCACGGTAGTACAGTAGAATGGTGCAATGGGGGAAAGGCAATGCACGGATCGAGCGATTGCATTTGCATTTGCATCCGGTGTCGTGGGCATGGTGCAGAGTTGGTTTTGTGCAAAGAGGCAAGAGGTAGTTGGGGTGAGAGAACAGCATTTTGTTTCGTGGAAGCACAACCAACGGCAAACCCGAGCCCAAAGGCACAACCCGTCCTTTTCTTTTCTTTTCTTTCCCGTCGTTCGTTTCCTCACCTGACGCTCTGGACCTCCGGGACCAGCAGGTTGAAGCGGCCGCTGCCGTTGCTGCTGCTCGCTCCCCTTCCCTCCCCCGCCTCCCCGAGCCAGCACCGGCTGGCCACGACGATCTCGGCCGCCTTGGCGATCGCCTCGAAGACGACCTGGTCGCACTGGGCCCGGGGGCCGCTCGGGTGGGGAGGGTTGGGGTGGGATTGTCCCCCGGTCCGCATTGCCGAGTGCTTGTGGTGTGGAACGTGCTGCTGTGGTGGGTGCTGTTGGTGTTGGTGTTGCTGCTGCTGCTGCATCGTCATCGGTGGCGCATGTTGCTGCTGTTGCTGATTCATGGTGCAATGGCCGTGTTCGCGTCGCTTCGATTCGATTCGATTCGATGGGATGGGATGGGATCGAAGCAGACGGAGGCTTKGAGCAAGCGCCACCCAACTACCAGACTAGCTCACGCCTCGCCTCCAATCCCAACAACAACGACGCTTGGATTTCGTTGCGAGAATGGAGCGGTTTTGTATCCTATTCTATCCTGTTCCACTCGGCTCGGCTCTAGCGGTGTTTGGTATCCTGTGCGTATTGTATATACGGTGTGCGCAATGCCTGTACTATCCTAGGGTTGTGGTTTTGTTTTGTGTTGTTGGACACTGGTTTCGTGCACTCCACACGGGCTGTCTGGAGTGTTGATTACTATTACTAGTAATACTTGTACTACCAGTAGTAGTTTGTTTCGTTCGCACTCTCGGCTCCACACACCTTTCTCGGTCGACAGAATCGAGTTCGTGGAGATTGCCGTGAAGCCCAATGTTCCGTTCGGACGGGAAGGAAGGATCAGAAACAGAAACCGTCCAAGCAGATGCCGTCGTTTCTTTTTTTGGGGCAATGACCATGAACCGAGCTAGCGAAAACCTACGGGTAGCCAAGCATCCTACGCTACGACATCGTACCTGTTTCTATCTGTGGTTCTAGGCAGGAACTACTCCACATATGTACTTCGTATGATTCTTCTTCTATGGTCTGACGGTGCGTACGAGTACCGTACGCTAATGGATGAACGAACTTCTGGGAACGCAAAGAAGGCGGTTCAACGCCTTGTGGACGAAAAAGAAGTTCGTACGAACGCAACGCATCACCCATCGCTACCTACCGTACGGTTCTGTAACGTACGTACTCCAACAACCATCGTTGTCTTTCGTACTGGACTGTACATAGGATGGGACTGTGACGCAATTGAAAACAAAAATGGTGCGATGGTGGTGGCTTGAAGGCAGCGGGGCAGTTGTATCACGTATCATCGTCTTGCCGTGACACGCGGGAGGGGATCGTAGCATCATATCCATCAGTATATGATCATACCCTGACAGGTATGATCATACCCTGACACGTATGATCATATCCATCAGGGTATGATCATACCCTGACACGTATGATCATATCCATCAGGGTATGATCATACCTTTTTGGGTATGATCATACCTTATTAGGTATGATCATACCCATGCAGGTATGATCATACCTCAACACATGTGATCATACCCAAACAGGTATGATCGTACCTTGAGACTTTGCATCATGCCGTAATTGTACCAGTAGACGTTTGGCAGTAAAGTATCGTCCCGTACTACGTACGAGTTACTCGGACCAAGATTGGTGCTCCCAATTCCGTTTCTCGGTCCTCTCTCTCGGGAATAGGTCCGTACGTACGACACATACATACGTACCGTGATCGGAACGGCTTCCACTTGGTGTCGTGGAATTGAGTGAGCACAAACTGCACAAAGATAGGAAGAAGAATGACACAGTGTGAGCCTAAATCACGAGTAGATAGTGAATAAGCTCACTCTTTATTGTAAACCACGTATTATCGTACACTAAAGAGCCTATCAGTATTTCGCACACAGGCGTCCGACCAAGACTATATGATACGAATCGAATGCAATTTCATCGAGTTTCATCGAACAGAATTCAATCGAATTTACTATGCTCGACTCCACCCAACCGGACCCCACCATGGCGACATCCCCACGGCTCCCGGTCCTCATCGCGGGGGCGGGTCCCTGCGGCCTCGTCGCCGCCACCACCCTCAAGAAGGAGGGGATCCCCTTTGTGATCCTCGAAAAGGTCTCCCGCCAGAGAATCTGCTCCAACGCCGGGAGCGGCTTCGAGCTGGCCCCGACCGCGGTGGCCATCCTGGAGGAGGGCCTTTGCCTGGACCTGGAGAAGACACGCCTCGTCTCGCGCTACAGGGGCATGTGCCTGGCCACCATGGAGGGAAGGCCCCTGCGGACCGACCGCCTCGGCGAGGGCTACGTGGGCGGGTCCCTCAACCGGGCCGAGCTGCAGAGGTTCCTCCTGGGGGTCCTCTTTTCCTCGCCGAAGGACGAGGAGGGCGTCCTGGTGTGCGGGTCCGGTGTGGAGTCCTACCGCGAGACCAAAAACCGCACCGTGGTGGTCGAGCTGGCCTCCGGAAAAGAGTTCGAGGGGTGCGCCCTGCTGGCCTGCGACGGGATCCGCTCCAGGTGCCGGGACCGGATGATGGGGGACCTCTCCAGAGAGGATTCCCTGCACTACTGCAAGGCGGTTTGCTACTGGGGCAAGACCCTCGCCCGAGAGGGAACGGCCCTCGAGAAGGAGTTCCTTTCCCTCCAGTCGGAAGCGCCGAGGACCAAGAAAGCCAAAGCGAGAACGAAAACGAAAACGGAGACGCAAACACTCTCGGCGAAAGCCCACGCCCAAGAGGAGCCGGGCTTGGCGTTGGCGCTGGAGGACCACCGCCGAAGCTCCTTCGTCCTGTCCCTGGCCACGCCGAGGGTCCCGGCCGTCCTCTTTGTCATCCCCTCCCAGCACACAGAGGGGGGGGAAACGACATCGACATCGAACACGAAATCGAAGACGGCGCTGATGCTCAACTGGGGCATCACGGTGGCGTCCAAGAACGAGCCGGCCGCCAGGGGCGACTCCACCCGCCGCGGCGGGGGCGTCCTGTCGGAGGACGAAAAGAAGCAGCTCCTCTCCCTCGGGGGCAAGAAGGAAACCCCCAAGAAGCGGTGGGGCGGGGCAACGAAAACGAAAGCGAAAACGACAAACCGGAGCCTCCTGGCCAACATCGAGGACTTTCCGCTCCTGGAGGAGCTCCTGGCGGCGACGCCGGCCAAGGACATTACCGAGGCCGGCTTTTACGACCGAAAAGACCTGGACCTTCCCTACACCAGCGAGGGAAAGCTCGTCGCTCTGCTCGGAGGTACGCAATGGAACGGAACGGAATACAATGGAACGGAATACAATGAAACGCGATGCGATGCGATGGCACGAGTTGCGATGTGATTTTGTTGAAAACCTTTCTGCCGACATTTTTGTGGATTTTGCTGCTCTGTTTCGGTTGCCACGCACCCCCTCACCCACCCACGCTTGCTTTCTTGCTCGTTATTTCTCGTTTGCACCGAAACAAACCAAACCAAACCAAACCAAACCACTCGATCCGCCATCCATCCATCCACTCCAGACGCCGCCCACCCCCAGACACCCTACCTCGGCCAGGGGGTCAACATGGCGATCACCGACGCGTACATCTACTCGAGCGCCATTGCGGACGCCCTCCAAAAGAGCCGGAACAAAAGCAGCACCACCACCACCACCGAAACCGAGGCCGCAAGCGTTGCGGACGCGATCCGCTGGTGCGATCCGGACTTTCGCCGCAGGGACAACAAGTCCGCCGTCCGGTGGGCCCGCTTTTTGTGCGACTTTTCCAGTTCCTCGAACCGCATCGTCTGCTGGCTCTTCCACGCCTACTGCAAGCACATCGTGTCCCCGGAGGAATTCCTAAGCACCATCGAGAAAACCGACCGGAGCAACGCACGGTACTGGAAGTACTTTGTCGAGCGGTACGGGACCAGATTCTTTTCTGGCATCAAAAACCCTGACCAGAAAAAAATCGCCAACGGAGAAATCAAACCCCTGCGTGAGGAAGCCGAGTGCTGAACCAAGCCTAGCGACTTGTATTCGATTGATGCGTTCGGCTGGCCACCACGATTGGTATCCCTGTGGTTGAAGACCAAGACATTTAGTGTCTCGACATCAATCATGGGACTGCAGTGTCCTCGTGTATGAATAGACGAATACAGTAGTACATCTCAACGTTACTGTGTGTGAAAAGATCATTACTATAAAAGAATTATTGTTTGATTTGTACTCCTAGCATGATGAATAGAATCATTACGACCAAATCTTTGAAAGCTAAATCCAACCACACTGTCTTCAAAGGACGAGCAAAAGATTATGTGGCTCTACAAGAATGATCCGTTCGCAGTTGCCCCAGATAGACTCGATGCGATGCGATGCGATGCAGTGCAGGGACCACGCCGCGCAGCGCAACGGTTGGCTGGCTGGGCTGGCTCATGCCTCCGCCCACAAAAACGCCTGAAAGACGCGCGGATCGACGCCGGCCTTGGTTTCGTCCCAGGGGTGCCGCTCGATGTACCGCTTGTGGTCGCTCGAAAAGACGCTGCAGGCGTACCACCGGAGCGCGGCCGCCAGGGCGCCCACGTCCCTGCACCGCATCCGCACCGCGTTCGGGGGGGCGTTTTCGGCCCCTTGTCCGCTTCCGGCAGAGGGCCGCCGCAGGGTCCTCCCGTGCGGGAGGCTGTCGATCACGTCGAACCAAACGACCTCTCGCTGGTCCCGGAAACACCGCAGCTGGAGTATGGCCACGACGTGCTGGTGGAAGAACAGGGTGGCCCCCAGTTTCTTCCGCCCGGGCCGGAGCGTCGTCAGCTCGGTCACCAGCACCCCCAGGTGGTCCCCGTCGAGGATGTTCCCCCCGCAGACCGTCACGAACTGGTCCCGCTTCATCGTTCCCTTTTCGATGAGGGCCTCGTGGGCGTCGTGGGGGATCAGAAAGGCGTCCCGGCCCAGCCCCAGGCTCTTGCGTATGGACGGCAGGACGCGGGGGGTCTCGACGTCGATGACCTCCGCGATCGCCCTTTCCGAAAGGCCGGGGTCGGCATTGCCATTGCTGCCACCGCGATCGAGCGGCGTTTTCGTCGCAAAGTGCCGGGCGCAGAGCAGCGGGGCAATCACGGTGCAACCGTTCGTGGACCCGTGCTTTCTCCCCTGGCGCGTCGGGACGTGGGCCACGTCTATCCTTCCGCGGTCCACCAGGGCGAAAAAGTCGTCCCGGAGGCCCCGCGTCGCGGCCTCCAGGTGCAGGGAGGCACCCGCACCGGTCGGTGCTGCCGTGTTGGGACGCGTTGTCACCGGGCCCCGTCTCCCGTCGAGTGGCACCGGGACGCCCTTGACGACAACGGTTTGCCTCCCTTGGCGAGGCCGGCGGCGGTGGCCGCCATCGTTGCCGCCGCTGCTGCTGCTAATGTTGTTGCGGTATTGATCGACGGCGTTGCCGCTGCCGCTGCTGCAATGCGGGTGGTGTCCGGCAGGTGCCACGTCGTCGCGTTTTTCTCGCTCCTTGCCGCGGCCGCCGTGGTCGCCGGGATGGGAAACGCTGTTGGTGCCCTGGTGGAACCGCATCCGCTCCCCGATCGAGGCCACCCTGGCGGCCTCGAGTTCGCTCTGGTACAGGGCTTCCTGGAGCTCCGAATCGTCGCCCTGCTCCTCCCCGCGTGCCGCTTGGAAATTGGAGAGATGGTTGTAGCTAAAGTTTTCGGGTTCGGTTCGAGGAAAGTGGCCGTGCAGGGTGCTCCCGCTCGTGCCGGCACCCGCCGGGAAAGCTTGCTTCTTCTGAAACACGGACGCGAGGCCCCCTTGTCGCAACGGAGCGTCCGTTGCTGCGTGGTCTCGGGATCGGCCCGAAGCCTTCGCCCCGGCAAACCACCGGCGGCTTCTCCGGCGGCCGCTTCCCCGGTGGCCGCTTCGATCGCTGTCCTCGTCTTCCTCCTCGTCCAAAAGAGAGGAGGTGTCGTGCAAGACGTAGAGTTGTGGCGAACCGACCAGTCCCCTCACACCGGGGGGATCCGGTCGGTCGTGGCCAGGGGCCCTCCCCGGAGAAGCCCGGAGGAGCCGGGGCGGCGAGGGGGGACCCATCCGCGCTTCGTCGTCGTCGTCATCGTTGTGGTTGCGCTTGTGCTTGTTCTTCCAAGACCCGGCGCCGGCCGCTGCGGCCGCGCTCGTCTCTGGCAGCGGTGGCGGGGCTTCCCGCGCGTCGTCCCGAAAGAGGGAGAGCCCAAGGGGGCACACCACCGAGGATCGCCCCGTGCACAGCTCGGCGTGGCAATCGTCGAGCCGGAAGAACCCGCTGGTCCCTTGGCTCGCCCGGGCATTCTCGCCGCCGCGTTTGCCGCTGCTTCCGACCGCAAGGTGGGGCCTCCCCTTGTGGAGCCCGCTCCCCAAGACCGGTTCCCGTTCTAGCTCTCGCCCCGGCTCGGGCTCCCACCCCCATTCCCCGGCCACGGCCCGGCGCATCGGCTCGTACGTCGACCAGCGCCCCCTTGACTGCTCCCTGGCCAGCCCGCGGAGGGCCTCCAGGTACTCCCTGCAGCGGGCCAACGAATCGTTGTGGCCGCCGCCTTTGGACGCTTCCGCCCAGGCCCGCTTCCGCCTTCGAAAGACCACGGCGGACACGCCATGGAACGAGTCGCGGTCCTCCTCCTCCAGCCACCTCAGGATCCGCAGCAGCAGGCGGAGGGCCTCCGAAGCGTGCCCCGCCGCCACCGCCCTGGCGGTATGGCACGATCCATCGTCCCAGCCGCCGGCTTCCGGGAGGTCCAGGAGGATCGCCTCGGCGAGCTCCAGGCCCGGCCAGAAGGTCTCGGCGATCCACTCCCCGTTCGTCTTGGTCCCCCGGTCCGCGCTGTCGGTGGTGCGCTTGGCGTTCGCGTCGAGGTCCGCCCCGAGGTGGTAGTACCGGAACCGAAAGGCTTCGTAGCGGTCCTGGCAGAGGGCGTACCGGTCGGCAAGCTTTTCGGTGTCCAGGAAGGGACCCCCCCCCGTCTTGTGCTTGTCCCCTTGCCTGCCCCGCGTCCGGTTCGGGGATCGGTGGCGGCCCCGGGGATCGTCGGGGACGCTCCGCGTCCGGGCGGGAATGGCAATCGCGGCCATGGGTGGTTGGTGGCTGCTGCTGCCGCTGCGTTTATGCGTGTACGCGTGTATGGGTCTGTTTCTGTTGTTGGCTGTATCACGATCCGATCCGGTCTAGCCCAATCGTATCCGATCCGATCCGATTGGATGTCCTGTTTTCCTTCCGTTTCGATTCGATGAGCCGCACCGTTCGGTTTCGTTCCTTTTTCTTTCTTTCTTTCTTTCTTAAATATCTATCTATTCTCCGATAAATTCAGGTCTTGGTATCCGGTGTATCCGTAGGTATGTGGTATCGCTTGTTTTCGATTTCGATGGCAAACGAAGTATTGTTGGATGGTCGGGTGTTGTGTGTTGTGTGTTGTGCCGAATGGATCGAAGTGGTTGCGGGTCGCTGGGTTGTGTTTGTTGGGTTGCGTATCGTTGATCGTTCGCAAGAATTGGGTTCTGTACTCGCATGAGTACGTAATCGTAGTTGTACCGGAAGTTGAGATCGTCGCCTTTCTTCCCTTGTTCCGTAGAACTTGCGTTGGAAGCTCGACAAGTTTCACTCCGATTGTTGCACATGCGGTTCGTACGTAGGATAGTACGGCACAGTATGATCTTCTTGTTCGCACCGCACCCCGCATCACATATTATCAATCGTGTATAGTACGAACTTCTTCGTACGTTCAACTACGTTCGTACTTACCAGTACCCGTACGTGACTTGCAGTATTTTCGACTACGTGAAGCCTCCTTCCTTCTTTCGCACGATGTATGCGTTACCCGTTAAGTTTTGTGTTCTATCGCATGACAGATTTCTTTCTGTACGATTTCTACACAGCGCTACGTGATGAACACCAAACGAACATGTTCATGTTCAAAGAAAAAAGTACGAACATACGTACCGTATGGTACGGTAATATATCACTGTGATATTATGATATTAAACCTATGTTACATACGGTACGAACAAAGGCCAAGGCCATTGCCGTACGGTACGGTAGAACAACGATTGTGCCTGTCCATGTTCTGTTCCATTTTCCTCCGTCCCCTCGAAAATGAAAAGCAATGATGTGACCGTAAAAACCGTAAAACAAAACCCGTGAACCAAAAACCCCAAAGCCCAACACAACCATAACACAGCCGAACACTCCGACTGAAAAGCGAAAAGACGCCTGCGACCAAACACAAAACCACGGAGGACACAACAGCCGCAATCCATTCTTTTCTGCTTCCGGCCACAGACAACAAAACCAACAACCATGAGCAACATCCGAGGACTCTACGACGACAAGAACGACGAGTCGTCCGACGACGAGAACAACCGATACGTGGGCGGCATCGGAGCCCGGGGAGGCGGGAGGTGGGTCTGCTGGTTTGTTTGTTTGGCTGCCTTGGCTGGTGGCATGTGTTGCATGTATTGCGTTGCGTTGCTTTGCTTCTTTGTCTTCTCCTTGTCGCTGCAGCCGCGTTTTTGCTATGCCAATAGCTTGTGTTGCGGGGTCTCGATTGCCATTGCGGAGACTCGAGAATGGATTCGATTTGATTTGATTCCATTCGATTCGATCCCATTCCAGTCCGTTGCGTTCCGTGTTTTCGATGCACGCTGCCTCCCTCGAATCGATGGAGGAAAGAAAGACACGGCAAAGGGAGGATGTGTGGTTTCGGTGGCCGATGGGGACGTCCAGCGACGAGACAAGAAAGAGACGAGGACATTGTTGGGCGGCAATCCCGCGGTTCATCCTTTGCTGCTTGGCTTGCCGTAGGCTTCCTTTTCCGAGACTGACCGCAACCGCTTCTCTTTTGTGTTCTGTTTGCTTGGAATCCTTTGCTCCGACCTGGGGTGTCGGTTCTGCGTCTGGCCCCTTGCATCGCATGCATGCATGCATGCATGTATGCACCCCCTTTCGGCGTTTCTTGCTTGATGGTGCAACACGTGCATCCTTGTTGCCTGCCCTCTTCCAGCGGACTCGCCGTCGAGCCCAACACGGCCGACGCCAACCCCAACGCGAACGGACCCCCTTCCACCAGCGACTCGATCTTCGACCTGGCCGAGGCCGCCGGGAGCGCTTCCGGCGGGGGAGACGGGGAGGTCCGGCGGACCATCACCATGTACCGGGACGGCTTTGTGGTGGACGACGGGCCCTACCGGAGGCTGGACGACCCGGCCAACAAGGAATTCCTCAAGTCCCTGGCCCGGGGGCAGACCCCCTCGGAGCTCACCGGAGACAGCAGCAGCGGGAACATCACCGTCGGCCTGATCGACAAGCGGGGGGAGGATTACGTCGAGGCCTTTCGCTCCTTCAGCGGGGCCGGCCAGAGCCTCGGGGCCGGGAGCGGCGCGAGCGCTGGTGCGAGTTCCTCCGGGGTCTTTGACCCGGGGGCCCTCGGGGAGGCCCCCCCTCCCCCCCCTTCCGGCGCTTCCACCACGGCGATCGCCGTCCGCGGCCTCGACGGGAGGCGCAAGGTCGTCCGCCTCTCCAGGACCGCGACGGTCGCCGAGCTGGCGGCGAGCCTCGACCCGCGCCCGCAACAGGCCTTCCGGATGGTGGCGGGCTTTCCCCCCAAACCCCTGGTGGAGGAGGGGGCGACCCTCGAGGAGGCGGGCCTCGTCGGGGCGCAGGTGCAGCTGCAAAAGGCGTAGGAGTACGCGGAGGCGTGCGCGGATGCGGAGGCGATCCCCCCTTGCGCCGGTTTGTGGGCCAAGGCCTTTCGTCCCAAAGGAATGATCCAAGATTGCGAATGACAGTAGTAATTATTTTTCGCGGCACCCGTCGTAATCTAGAACGTGTGCAATTTCTAGCAAAACCAACGCGAAAAAGAAAAATACCAATTGTACTAGTCGTATGTAACAGAGCGGGTGGTGATCGTGCCGTGGCTAGTTTTCCGGAAAGTGTCCCTATTTCCAGGGAACGCAATGGCACTTCGTATCTATGATCAACTATTGTTACTAATGCCGTTAGTCTGCAGTCTCAAAGCAGCAGCGTTCTGATTGCAAGGAAGCCACGAGAAAGGAAACGCATCCTTGGAGTACAACAGCTCGAGTACTGCAGCTCGGTATCCTGTGTTTTCTAGCGGAAGAACCTGTTTTGATCGATTACAAGAGCAACGATTCAATGCGACTATAGTTATACATACTCATGAAACCCTACTATAATTATTGCCAGTGCCATTCATTGCAATGCGACACGCTATGATAGCCGTTCCTGAGTTAATCCGTCGGCCCGCCCGTTCTTTGGTTCGCTGCTCGAATACCCCATCTCCTGCAGGATGCCGACGAGCTTTGCGGTCTCCCGCGGGTTGCTCCCGACGAGGCGGACCTCCAGGAGGCTCGAGAACTTGGCCTCCTCCACGAGGGTCTGCACCCCGATCCGCAGGAGGTCCTCGTAGATCTGCCCGCTCTTGCCCACCGTGCCCAGGGGCCGGACCGTCAGCACCTCCAGGTCGGCCTGCTGCGCCTTTGCCACGCAGGACCGGTAGCACGACCGGATCGAAACCCTGGCAAAGTGGAGAAAGTACCTGTCCTTCTCCAGCATGGCATCGATAGGGGGAGGCGGCGGCGACGACGACGACGACGACGACGACGCCGTCGAATCCACCGGGGCGTCCAGAAACGGACCGACCGCCAGGATGACGGCGGCGCCGCCGACGGACGGGCCTTCCCCGGCACAGCAGTCGGAGGTCGTGCCGACCACCACCGACTTTCCGATCACGCACCGAACGGCTCCGTACCGGGTCTCATTCACCACCGGAAGCAGCTCGGCGCGGGCCCTGAATTTCTCGCCGTCGACGTCGTCCAGCAGGAGGAACGAACTCCGGGGATCGTCGAGGTCGCAGGCCTCGTTCGACCAGCAGACGATCCCCCTCGTGGGCTTCGGGTGGTTCTTGCCAATGTCGTTCTTTCGATCCGTGCGAACGGTTGCGACGCCGCAAACCCGGAACGTGCAGGTGCGCCCGTCGCAGTTCACCTCGAAGGACGAGGAGGTTTCTTCCTGGGAAAATTCGTCGAGCAGTTCTGCTCCGTCGTAGCTTTTCGTTTCGGCAATGATCGAGTCGACCTGGGCCTTGAGGTCGAACACCGCCTGGGTTTGGAGCAGCCGGGTGGACGGGACCCTTCTCTCCATCATTATTTTCTTCTTCAGCTTCAACAGATCCTTCTTCAGATTGTTGGCGACATCGTACTGCCGATTCGAGATGGCGTTGGCGAGATCCGATTTCATCGTTTGTTCCATTTCTTTCAGGTCTGCCAGGCTCGAATAGCCTCGCCTCATCGCTTCGAGGTCACTGACAACGGCGCGCAAATCGACGGCCCGCTTGTAATTTTTGGCCCGGACCGCTTCCTCCGCGTACAGCGTCCATCGAACCAGCTCTCGTTCCAACTCGTTGAGAGATTTGACGACGAGTTCGGGTTTGCTCGCGATTTTCAGAACCTCGGTAAAGTCTGTTCGAGACATCCACTCGGCCACCGCTATGACCTGGGAGGGGAAACCGTTCCCCATGCGATGGTAAACTTCTTTCATTCGCTGAGAAACCCCCAAGGACGGAACATTGGTGTTGGCTTTCAACTCGAATGGTGGATCTACGAGCTCCGCAAATTCGTCTGCCGACCGAGCCTGTATGCCCTTGTTCCCTGATATGTAATCGCAATTTTCTCCAAACAAGAGGGCAGTCGAACGAAAATCAAGGGCACCGAGTTCGATGTGACTCTTTTCGATGCCCTCGTCGTCTCTTTCCGTGGATATCCAAAGGACCTTTGCAGCATAAGCATGGGTTTGTATAAATAGCACCAATTTTTGCAAGGAAACCTGCGAGACCTCCGTGTTGAAACTTCTGCTATCGATTACCACAACCACGGAAGCCTCTTCTAGTTCGATTTCCAGCCGTTCGAGGCAGTCGAGGAGTTCTTCGTTTGTAGTATCCCATATGTCCTCGCTTGAATTCCGAATCAACCCGCAGCACAAACTAAAATCTTCATACACGGAGTCGGGCTCTACTTCAACCTGCGCCGGGGTTGGAATCCAATACGCCTGGTCGATCGAGAATGCCTCCGATCGTTTCATGGCATAATCAACAACCGCTGTGACAACGGAGTCTTTCCCACATCCCTCGCATCCAGAAATCTCCACACAACTGTTCGACTGCATCGACTCAAGAATTGCAAACATATCGATTTCTCGTCCAACAAAGCGATCCGGAAGGGGAGGCACCTTCAAAATCTGCTGTTGATCAGCATCGTGGTTGTCGTCTTCAATGACAGCGGCCTGTTGGAAAAATATTGGAGCGCTCGGTTCGAAAAATAGGGAGGATGATAGGAGAGAAAAACGTTTTGCCACGTTCCGAAGATTCTTGGAAAGTTCCGACGAAAGAACGTCCTCAACAGCGGTCTCGAACGCTTCATTCAGCGCCATCTGCTTGGCAGCATTTCGGTAGAAACATTTCACAAATTCCATGGCAACGGCATCCCTAAACTGGGCGTCTCTCTGACAACACACGACGTGTGGAACACCCGCTTCTATAAGAGCTTGCCCAATCGTATGCGCATGGCACGAGGAGACGAATACAACCTTCAGGGGGCCATTCGTGTTGTTTGAAACAAGTTCTTCCAAATTGCGTAATGGAAATTTCTCGAGAAGTCCAAGACCGTTTTCGAGTGCAAGAGCATCTTCGCGACCGTGGCAGCTAAAGTGTATCAATGGCGAATCACCCAGGGAGATTGAAGCTTCGAATTGATCCGGCGTGGCGATTTCGTCTCGAACCTCGATCTTTGAGCCTTTTGTCATTGCCACTGCGACAGCTTTCCGAATAATTTCGATTTCGTATCCGGAATCGTGCAAAGGTATGCTTTTGTGGAGTCCGGTTTCTTCGTCGAAATACACTAGGGGAGCCGAGTTCAATATAATCATTCGATCGAACGATGTGTTGACACTCATTTCTTGATTCGTTTCCGTCATTCCATCCGCTGTCATAATGTCGTTCTCGTTAGAATCCTCTGCCAAAAGCATCTCGTATGAGGAAAGCTCGTCGTTTTTCCCATTTTTCTTCACCCTATCCTGTTCGTCGTCGTCCTTATCCTCGGACAAATCGCTGACGTTCTCCTCCATATCAACCGATCGTGAGTTTCTCGAGTGCGACGAAACGCATTTGCTTTCGATATCTTCTTCCCCTGTCGTGACTTCGTAGCTCCGATCCCCCCGCCCCGAATTTTCAATGATGACATCGCAATGATAGCTGTTTTGTATCTGGTTGTCACCTTGTTCCTGTTCCTCCTCCTGCTCTTCATATCCACTTTCAACATTCATTTGCCCTTCCCAGTACTTAGTTAAGTCCTCATCGTTATTCACGCGACGGTCGTCATTATCGTTTTCGTCCCCGTCACTTGCAGATAACAGTAATCGCCGAATGGAAACAATAATGAATCGCCGATCTATATTGTTACTCCACAAGCCTGAGATTTCTTTCAGTGTCGTGTTGTTGCCCATAGCCCATAGCAGCGCCCTACCCCCATCGTTGTGAATATTGTTATCGTTCAGTTCAATTGATCGCAGGGATCGATTTGTCGCAAGGCAGGAAGCAATGGCCTGCGCCCCGGCGTCGCCGATTCGATTGAAGCCCAGGCTGACGCTGGTGAGGCGGGCATGGGGACCAGCAATACAGAGGCCACCGAAAAGTGCTTCGATTCCCCGGTTGCGCATGCGATTCCCCGAAAGGTTCAGGTCCCGTAGGGTCCTATTTTTTGCTAAGAATCCGTGAATGCCAAAGGAGGGACCGAAGAAGCCGGTGCTAGAGGAAAAGAAGCTGTCGTCTTCATCGTTCTCGTTTTCGGCATCGAGTTTCCGTAGGAGATTGTGCGAAAGATCTATCGTCTCGATCTTTGTGTGTGGATTTCGTCGGAGTGCATCAAAGATGGTTACACCCCCGAGCGTTTCGATGTGGTTGCGGGACAAATCCAGTACCTCCAACCCACAGCACGAGGCCTCAAGATAGGGACAGAGAGCATCCATACCAGCGTTCCCGATTTTGTTTTCAGCTAAGTCTAGTGTCTTGAGTCGCATGACGTAATTCCGGACAAAGGAAGCCGACGAGGTACCATTGCTAGCAGTAGGTGTTACCGAGGGGTTCCATAAAGCTTCGTAGAATGCCGTTCCCAAAATCCCCAAACGGTCGTTATCGATGTTGCAATTTCTTAAAATCAAGGAAGATAGATGGACAGGCGTGTGGTTTCTGCTGGCTTCGAGGCTCTCCGCTAGAGCCGTCACCTCAGAATAGTTCAAACTCACCCCCGTCAAATCCACTGTTCGAATTACGGAACCACCGATGGGCCAAAACTCGCCCCGCAGGACACGGATGGTTTTATCGATAATATCTCGTTTGGTCTTCCTTGGTTTTCCCCCCGATCCCATGCTTTCCTCACCTAAATCTTCCCCATCGTCGCTTCCGTTGTAAAAATTGTGGCTTTTGACACTATTGTTCTTGCTGCGATAGAAGGCGTCCGGTGCTCCTTCTAAGGACACTTGCTCGGATAAGAATTTGATTCGATCTTGTGGCGGTGGAAAGATCGTTCTGTCGGCGCTACTAACCTTCGTTTCCGCGTTGTCATTGTCACTATCCGTGGATACGGATGAAGCCCCGGGACTCCCGACGGATCTTGATTTATGCTTCGATCCGGAAGACGATTTTGATTTGGCGGATAGTGGTTTGTTAGCCAGTATGCCTTTCACTCCGTCCACACCTCGGAAGCCATCGCTTAAGGACCGCGGCCTCGGATCTTCCTTCTTCCCGGTAGTAAACGAACCAATGTGTGTGTTTCTTCGAGCTTGTTTTTCCATTGGCCATCCAATTTTTCCAGCAGATTCGACCAACCGCCGGGCATGCTCAAGCGTAAAACAACCTTCCCTCAAACAGAATCCCTTATAGACCAGATAGTCTCCTTCATCTATGTCGACGTCGATGTTGATATTACTTTCGATTGTTGCTGGCTCTTCCACAGAGGTAGACTTTCTCCCTCCCCTTTTCGAAAAGCCATTTTTCTTTTTTTTCTGTTTTGACTCCTTGCTGCCTTTGCCTTTGTTGCCAGAAGAAGACTCGGTCGCAACCACCACTCCATTCCGGAGAGCGGTGATTGGCTCCCATTTTTTCGGACCAAACACCCCCTTTTTTCTCTTTACCTTCGTCTTCGCGCACAACGGACACAGACCTCTCTGCTGACAGAACTCTTCGAGCTCTCGGCCGTGCAGGAAGACGCCCTTGGACACCTCGGTCCTTCTGTTGACATCCCTGAACGACATGTCGCGCATACCCGGTTTTTAGTCCGTTCTATGATTGCTCGACCGCGTCCCTCCAGCCGTCTGTGCGACGGTGCTGTTCAACGGAGGTGCAGTACAGAGAAATGGTATTGATACAGGGACACACKAGCAGAAAGCCACGCAAAACGAATCGAATCGAAACGAAACGAAACGAAACGAGCGAACTTCACAGCACCCTTATTTCTCCGACTTTTTGTAAGGTTGGGTTTCCTGTGTTTAGAAGACGACAGACTGTTGGCGTCTTCCTCGTAGTCTATCTCCTTGTTTCGGTTCTATTGGTGACAGTGCTATTGGATGTACGTTATAGCTTCCTCTCGAACCAAAACAGCTTATTTCAACCGTACACTGGTGCTCTTCTTGCAACAACAATAATTGTCCAGGTATCCTGCGGTATCATACATACGCATACCGTACAATTAAAGATTCCGTTGCTTTCCAAAATTTCGTGTCGTGTTCATGTGTCCTGATGAGGTACGTACGGTAGGGGGCTACGGCATTCGCCGTACTGTATTCAAAAATACCGAGAACAAGCTAAACACAACGCAAGAAAGGAGGGAAATGTTGAAAGTTGAAAAAATACTCTGTACTAATTTCAGCGGTAATGGAACGTACAACATATATGGGTTCTACTTTTCCCTTCGTAATCCTTGCATGCATTTCCAAATTTCCCAAAAATTGCCGTTTTTCTGTACAGTAGCCTATCTGATAGCCCCCAATTAGTTGGTTGATGCACCGGTACGTACCTGTATGGGTCATTTCATCAATCTGTGCGGTTTCATTGAGAACGGTACGGTAGGGGAAAACGTACCGTAGATATTCGTACTTGAAAAATTTACTAGTACTTCGTACTTCACAAAACTGTCTTCTGCGCGCACTATTTCATTCGGCTTTTTCATTTCGGTGGGTTCTCATCGTTTTGGGCCTATGCCATTAGTCATAGTCACGGTGTGGCGAAGGAGTCATTCTTTCCATACAGTATTGTGTCAGTTGCGAGGTTAAATTTCAGAACTCCGAACACCGTTACTTAATACCGTGACTGAAGCTTGCTAGGGACTGAACGCGAATCGGTTCCGTACCGTACGGTAGGGAATTTTGGTCGTCATCAAAACCAACAAGTCCAATGAATCGAACGATTGGTTGGATGAAATCGCTGGTTGCGAATTATTAGTATGAGGTTAACGCTTTCAAAAGTTCGTTCAGAGTTCAGAGTGACATACCGTACATACCTTTCATAATCCTACRGTACAATTTCATACGTACAGGAGAGGGACCGAAGGGACCATTTTTTTAATATTTTAGCGCGATCCGCGCACTTTTAACGGTATTTATGTAAAAATAACGGTTTCTTTTTACATCTTTTGATTGGGTGCGAGTAAGATTGAATACAGT